GAGGTTGAGAAACACGATATTGGAAGCATTGCTCTGCTAGACCCAACGTGCCGAGTTCAAATCTTAATCCTTTGATGGGATCCCAGGACGCTGGGTGCCAGGTTTGGCTTGGCTGATGTGGTGAGGGACCTAGAATGGCCGAGATCTCAGGATCTACTGAACCTACAAGGCATCCAAGCTGGACCTAGCTGAAGCCCACATCCTTAACTTTGTCACTGGAGAAGCATTTATCGCGCAGTTGAACCCCAAAACATAAATGTGGCACGGAGACCGGACTACCGCCATCTGTCAGAAATAGTGTAGGGCAATGATGGCTAACCTTTTGCCATCGTGTGCCAGGAGGGGTGGGTCACGCGCGCGCGTGCCCACACCCATAATTCTATGTGCGCCCATGCCCCCCCTCCCCTGCTCCTGGAACGAGATGGTACAGTAGGCTCATTTTTTGCTCTCTCCAGCCTCCAGAGCCTTTCTAGGAGTCTGGGGAGGGTGAAAACAGCCTTCCCCACACACCCCGGAGGCTGGAAACAGCCTGTTTCCCTACTTCTGGTGGGCCCAGAAGGCCTGAAAATCAGCTGGCCAGCGCACACATGCACGCCGGAGCTGAGCTCACGTGCCCACCGAAATGGCTACGTGTGCCACCTGTGGCACGCGTGCCATAGGTTCGCCCTAACAGGTGTAGGGTCTCCTGCTTGGATGGGCGGGTTGGACTAGATGACCTACAAGGCCCCTTCCAACTCTTGACAATCTGTGAATCTGGATTAATGTCGGAAAGACGTGGTCGCTTGGTTTGCAGGCGGCTGTGGATCGCCAGCAGATTTAGGTGATGACGGTTTCCCAGGATTTTCAAGAGAAAAATCATGTTTAAATGAAAAGAAGTTGGATGAGGGGTTGGATGAGCATGAGGAAAAACGTGCTCATGATCAATGTTGGGATTCTGAGGGAAAATCTCCTCACGATCCAGATTAATTCTGGAGGCAACAGCCCTGTTTCTCAAGCTTAGCAACTTTAAGATGAGCTGTGGACTTTAACCTGTCAGGATTCATGGACTTCAACCCCCAGAATTCCCCTGGTGGCTGGGGAATTTTGGGAATTGACGTCCACACCAGTGGTGAAATGTAAAATTTGTTACTACCAGTTCTGTGGGCGTTGCTTGGTGGTGGTGGTATAATATGACGGTGGGCGTGGCCAACTTTTTTTTTTTAACTTTTAAAAGCATTTTTTCTACAACCTCTTCAGCCGAAAAAATGCTTTTAAATGTAAAAAAAAAAAGCCTCTGATGATCACACGGCTCAGCTGGGATCGTCAGAGGCTTTTAAAAGCATTTTTTTGTCAGAAGAGGTTGTAGAAAAAATGCTTTTAAAAGTTAAAAAGCCTCTGATGATCGCGTGGCTCAGCTGAGCATGGGGGGGGGCAGGGATTTTTGCTACCGGTTCTCCGAACCACCCGCCTCCATCACTACCGGATCGAGCGATCCAGTCCGAACCGGGAGCATTTCACCCCTGGTCCACACCCCTTAAAGTTGCCGGGGCTGAGAAGCTTTGTTCTAAATGACAATTTCACCCCCGACAGTGGTGAATTCGTGAATCGGGCACCCTGTCCTCTTGGCAGCCATCTTTGTTAGGTTATTTGTTTTGTGAGTGCGCCCACAACAGGGTCTGATTTCCAAATGGGCTCAGTCTCAGGGGTCTCTAAAATGTTGGGGACCTTTTGGCACAAGATGAGCTCAAAAGGCACGTCCTCCTTTGCCATATCAGCCTTTGGAGCGCCTAATGCAGCTGGAAACCTTGAGCAGGTTCACAGGATCCCAATTTTGTGGGACCACATCAAGAGGAAAGTCTGAAATGGGGAACAACGCTGCCACCCAGTGGTGATTCCGTTGCATAGCATCAGCTTTAGGAAATTTTATATATAACAAGAGAATGTCTATGGAGATTCTCAGTCATCCAGGTCACAGTTATCACCAAAGATGCTTTTTCAAGAGGCAACTGGACTTTCTTTTTCTTTTTTCCTTTAAAGACGTTTCGCTTCTCAACCAAGAAGCTTCTTCAGCTCTGACTTCCATCCCCCGCCATCCAGTCAGAGCTGAAGAAGCTTCTTGGATGAGAAGCGAAACGTCTTCAAAGAAAAACAGGAAAGTCCAGTTGTCTCTTGAAAAAAAAGCACTTTTGGTATAACGGAGAATTTTTGGAGCTCAGGGTTGAAATGAGGGGTTCCTTATCTTGGCTGTTTTCTTGGCGAACGTTTCATTACCCAAATTAAGTAACATTATCAGTGCTCCCTTCTAGCACTGATGATACCCAGTTTCAGCGATGAAACATCTAAACAATATTTAATAAAACATTAATTAAAGAAAACAATGAAGCTCAGAAATGTTATATGTCAAGGAAATGCTCCAGAAAAATGCTTGGAGAATACTTTGCAAAGCTGTAGTGGTTGAGAGAACGTCCAGAGCAGGTTCGATTATCTGGAAGCAATCCACTTTTGAGTGATGGGTTTCAACATTTTTTACTGTGGGCGTGGCTTGGTGGGCGTGGCATGGCTTGGTGGGAGTGGCTTGGTGGGCATGGCAGAGGAAGGATACTGTAAAATCTCCATTCCCTCCTCACTCACTTAAGACCTTTTTATTCCATCAGGCTGGCCTGGCCTAATTTTTTCCCTTTTTTCCCTTTTTAAAATGCAAATTTTAATCTGTTCTTAATTATTGGGGTGTTTTAAATCTGTCTTCGGCCAAATTGTTTAATTCGGTTTTATTCTGCTTTTAAATTTTGTATTTATGTGTTTTATCTTGTGACTGTTCACCGCCCTGAGTCCTTCGGGAATAGGGCAGTATATAAATCAAATAAAACCTAAATCTAAAAAACCTAAAACTCCAGGGAAATGGAATGGAATGGAATGGAATGGAATGGAATGGAATGATAGAATAGAATAGAATAGAATAGAATAGAATAGAATAGAATAGAATGAGTTGGAAGGGCCCTTGGAGATCTTCTAGTCCAACCCCCTGCTTAGGCAGGAAACCCTACACCACTTCAGACAAATGGTTATCCAACATCTTCTTAAAAATTTCCAGTGTTGGGGCATTCACAACTTCTGCAGACAAGTTGTTTCACTTATTAATTAAGTCTTCAGAGAGGGGCCGCATATAAATTGAATTAATTAAATTAAATTAAATTAAATTAAATTCTAACTGTCAGGAAATTTCTCCTTAGTTCTAAATTGCTTCTCTCCTTGATTAGTTTCCACCCGTTGCTTCTTGTCCTGCCTTCAGGGGCTTTGGAGAATAGCTTGACTCCCTCTTCTTTGGGGCAGCCCCTGAGATATTGGAAGGCTGCTATCATGTCTCCCCTGATCCTTCTTTTCATCAAACCAGACATACCCAGTTCCTGCAATCGTTCTTCATATGTCTTAGCCTCCAATCATCCCCTAATCCTCTTTGTTGCTCTTCTCTGCACTCTTTCTAGAGTCTCCATATCCTTTTTACATCGTGGCGACCAAAACTGGATGCAGGATTCCAAGTGTGGCCTTACCAAGGCCTTATAAAGTGGTACTAACACTTCACGTGATCTTCATGGAAGGATACTGCAAAATCTCCATTCCCACCCCAGTCTGGGGCCAACCAGAGGTGGTATTCGCTGGTTCTCCGAACTGCTCAAAATTTCCGCTACCGGTTCTCCAGAACTGGTCAGAACCTGCTGAAACCCACCTCTGGCCAGGACCTTACGGCCTTAATATCTTCTGCAGAAGACATCTGCTCAGGCTGTCAATGAAGTCCTCTCTCAAGGTCTCCTCCTCGCATGAAGACAACTTGGTGGATTATGCACCGCTTAACAGAATAACAAAATAACAGAGTTGGAAGGGGCCTTGGAGGTCTTCTAGTCCGACCCCCTGCTCAAGCAGGAAACCCTAGAGCAGTGATGGCAAACCTTTTTGCCGTCACATGCCGGGAGCGCGGAGGGCGTGTCGCGTGCACACATCCATAATGCAGTGCCCCCCACGCATGTGCACGCCCCACCATGCTGCCCCACCCCCTGCGCATACGCCCTCACCCCCCACCTCCCCACATATGCATGCACGACCCCCCGTGCCCCTTTTGGGCTCCCTGAAGCCTCTGGAGACCAGAAACGGCCCATTTCCAGACTTTCAGTAGGCCCGTTAGTTCCGTTTTTCGCCCTCCCCAGGCACCAGAAGCTTTCCTGGAGCCTGGGGAGGGTGAAAACGGCCTCTCCCAGCTCTCCAGAGGTACTCCAGAGGCCGGAAACGGGTTGTTTCCGGACTTCCGGGAGGCCCATTTTTCACCCTCCCAGAATCTCCGCGTGAGCCCTGTACTTACCTGGCATCCAAAATGGGCCGTGTGGCGACTCCTGGGGAGGGGAGTGGCGGCGGGGACGGGGCCAGACTAAAATCAGCTGGCCGGGCGCATACACCCGCGCACTGAGGGCGACCTAGGGCAACTACTCACGTGCCTGCAAAGATGGCTCCACATGCCACCTGTCATAGGTTTGCCATCATTTATTTATTTATTTATTTGTTTTAATTTGTATACCGCCCTTCTCCAGCAGGACTCAGGGCGGTGAACAGCCAGAATAAAACAGAGCATACAAAATTTAAAAACAGTTTAAAAATAATTAAATCATGGCCTTAGAGTCTCAACATTTTTTTTTTTTTTTTGTACATCGTGCGGACCAAAACTGGATGCCGTGAAAATCCCGTCATCCCCCTTTTGCGACCTCCTGACGAGCAGAGTTCGCTTAACGACCACGTGACTTAATTTCACAACCGCAGTGGTTCAGTTAACCGACGCGGCAAGGAAAGCCGCAAAATGGGTCAAAACCCACTGGACCAATTTCTCCCTTAGCAACGTGCATTTCGGGCTTACGTTGTGGTCGTAAGTCGAGGCCTACCTGCCTGTGATTGTCGTTCCCTCTTCCTCCCCTGTCCTTTTTCACCTGGTCTTCCTCCCTGCCTCTCACCCGCCTCCGCTTTTTCCTTGCTTGCTCCAGACTGGTGGAAGAATTTATGCTGCTGGCCAACATGGCGGTGGCCCATCGGATTTACCGCTCCTTCCCCACCCAAGCCCTCCTGCGCCGGCACCCCCCACCGCAGAGCAAGATGCTCCACGACCTCATGGCCTTCTGCAGCCAGATGGGCCTGGAGATCGACTGCAGCAGTGCCGGGGCTTTGCATGTGAGTAACGGCAGGAGCCGGAGATGGGAAAGGAGGGGAGGGGGAATCAAAGGAGCTCCTCCTGCTGCATTCAGCCAAGGTTATTTTATGGGTAAAGGGTCTTAAAATTGGGGAAGCCAATCTGATTTAATTCTGTTTTAACTTATTTTAATTTTTATATTTGTATGTATTTTAATCTTGGCTGTTCACTGCCCCGAGTTCTTCGGGAGAAGGGTGGTATACAAATTTAATTTAATAATAATAATAATAATAATAATAAGAATAAGAATAAGAAGAAGAAGAAGAAGAGGAGGAGGAGGAGGAGGAGGAGGAGGAGGAGGAGGAGGAGGAGGAGGAGGAGGAGGAGGAGAAGAAGAAGAAGAGGAAGAAGAAGAAGAAAGAAGAAGAAGAAGAAGAAGAAGAAGAAGAAAAGAAGAAGAAGAAGAAAAGAAGAAGAAGAAGAAGAAGAAGAAGAAGAAGAAGAAGAAGAAGAAGAAGAAGAAGAAGAAGAAGGAATCAGCTCTGTAAGGAAAGGAGAGACCGTGGGGTCCTCGGTGATCTCTGAGCTTGGCTGATTTCTTGCAGACGTTTCATTGCCTCTCTATAGAACATCATCAGTGCTAAAAGGGGAGTGCGGTTTGCAGGAGGAGGACTGTGGGGGTCCTTGCTACTCTCTGTGCTTGGTTGTTTCCTTGCAGACATTCCATTACCCAACTAGGTAACATAATCAGTGCTAGAAGGGAGTACGGTTTATAGAAAGGAGGACGTTTCTTGCAGACGTTTCATTGCCTATCCGTGTAACATCATCAGCGCTAGGAAGGAGTGGGGTTTGCAGAGAGGAGGAGGAGGGTGAAAACTCTGAGGTCCTTGGTACTCTCTGAGCTTGGTTGTTTTCTTGCAGACGTTTTGTTACCCAGCTAGGTAACATCATCAGTGGTAGGGCCTAGCCCAGTGACGACTAACCTTTTTGCCATCATGGGCCAAAAGCGGGGAGAGTGTGGGGGAATCACACACGCCGGTGCCCACACCCATAATTCTATGCTCCCTTCCCCCCCCCCCCCCCCCCCCCCCCCGCACATGCACGTGCAACCCACCCTGCGCTCCCTCACACTTTTGGCATGTGATGGCACAGTGGCCACGGTAGGCCCATTTTTCGTTCTCCCCAGGCTCCCAGAGCCTTTCTAGGAGCCTGGGGAGGACGAAAACGGCCTCCCCTCCGGAGGCCAGAAACGGCCCATTTGCTGACTCTGGTGGGCCCAGAAGGCCTGAAAATCAGCTGGCCAGCGCGCACACGTGTACCCAAGCTGAGCTCGCGTGCCCACTGATATGACTCTGTGTGTGCCACCTGTGGCACGTGTGGCATAGGTTCGCCATCTCAGGCCTAGCCTAAGGCAGAAGTCAAACTCACCCTTTTCCAGTGATTAGCCCAAAGCTACTCAGTGGGCTTTCATGGATAAGGTGGGACTAGAACTCACCGTCTCCTGATTTCTAGACCAGCACTTTCACCACTAGACCAAACAGAAATACACAACCCCACTTGCGTTGAGGTCAAGGTTAGCCACAGCTTGGGAGAAAAAAGCATGAGGTGCAACAGGGAAGTTCAAGCCACATTTGCTCCCTCCTAACGCCCGTTTGTCAGCACTTCAAGCTGCATTTACTCTAGTGCTGACATAAGAAGGAGAAGCGGAGGCGTCTGGAAAGGGACGTTTGACTTTTCACCTACTTATTTTCCCTGGAGATAATATCCCCTAAGAGATGGGATGGGAGGGGGGAAATTCCTTTGAGCTGGAGCAGTAGATTAGGGGTACAGTGATTTGGAAGATGGCCATGCGTGCAGGGGAGTGGGGAACGGAAAGGGAGGGGTTTGGGTCTGGAAGTCAGTGTTGGCTACGATGGAGTCGGAATTAGAATGTCGTGCTTAATAAATGGGAGTTTTCTTCAAAGACTTTGTTTGAAATGCAATTTATTTGAGACGACCTCGAAACCTGACACCGTGTCTGTTTCTCTCTCTCTCTCTCTCTTCCAGAAAAGCCTGAATGAAACCTTTGGGAACGACCAATACAGCGATGCCAGGAAGGAGGTGCTAACCAACATGTTCTCCCGACCCATGCAGGTAGGAAGGAGGGAGGGGCCATCCCTGCCCAATTGGGGTTTTGCAATGCAGGCTGTGGAGGCTGCCGCTCGAGACCACCCTGGGGTACGGTTGGTGCAGAACCCAGCAGCAGCCCTCAGTTAACTGGCAGGAGAGTTCTTTGATTTATTACATTTAAATGTTATTTCATTCGTTGAATTTGAATTTCATTTCATTTCGTTGAATTTGAAGTTTATTTCATTCGTTGAATTTGAAGTTTATTTCATTCGTTGAATTTGAATTTTATTTCATTCGTTGAATTTGAATTTTATTTCATTCGTGGAATGTGAATTTCTTTTATTTATTAAATTTGAATTTATTTTATTTATTAAATCTGAATTTTTTAATTCATTAAATTTGAATTTATGGTATTTTATTGATGAAATTTAAATTTATTATATTTATGAAATTTGAATTTATTATATTTATGAAATTTGAATTGCTTTTATTCATTGAATTTAAATTTATTGCATTTAGGAAATTTGTTTGCCGCCCATCTCACCACCAGGGTTAACTGGGGGATCTAGGCTAATAGTAGATTTCTGGTTTATATTAAGCTATCATATGTAATATAATATATTAAGCTATTATATATATATATATATATATATATATATATATATATATATATATATATATATATATATATATTCCCTTTATTTATACACACACACACACACACACACACACACACACACACACACATATATAAATTTATATTTCGCTGATAAAGAAATAAAGGGGGACTAGTATAGATCTATTTCAAGCTATTTAGCTCTCATCAGCTAGCCATACCCTTACACTGATTCGAACTTGGGCTGCCTTCATGTTAGGCAGCTGTATTAACCTCTGAGCCACAAATTCTCCTCCCGTCATCAGCTTGTGGCTCAGAGGTTAATACAACTGCCTAACATGCAGGCAGCCCAAGTTCGAATCCGAGTAAGGGTATGGCTACAACTGCCTAACATGCAGGCAGCCCAAGTTCGAATCCGAGTAAGGGTATGGCTAATTATCAGCGAAATATAAATTTGGTATAAAATGGTTTGTCATGAATGCTTGAGGGATCCTGGATTGGGGCTGAAAGGCGATTGTTGGGGGCAAGAGGCTGACTCTGTACACCACTTAGAGAGGGCCGTAAAAGCACTGTGAAGCAGTATATAAGTCTTAAGTGGTATTGCTATAAAGTGGAAGATTTCCAACCTCGGTAACTTTAAGACCTGTGGACTTCAGCTCCCAGAATTCCCCAGCCACAGGCCTTAAGGTTCTCGAGGTTGGATGCTCCTGTGATAAAGCCTTTCATGGGCTGGCATCCAGATCTCCTCCACGTTCTCTGGGATGGAGAGAGACCTCCGAGTATCTCTTCCCCACCTACTCCTGCTCTTCCTAAAACTTTGCAGCTTCTTTCACCCTCAGCCATGTCAGAAACGCCTCCGTCTTCCTTCCCAGCCTCGCTGGCGGTAGCTTCTGATCTCTCCCCGCTCTTTGCAGATGGCCGTCTATTTCTGCACCGGCGTGCTGAAGGACGAGAACCTCTTCCGCCACTACGCCCTCAACGTGCCTCTCTACACTCACTTTACGTCGCCCATCCGCCGGTTTCCGGACATCGTGGTGCACCGGCTACTCTCGGCTTCACTGGGTGAGTTTCTTAGGATGGTGGGCTAGCTAGTTGGCTGCCACTAGGGAAGCAAAGGGCAGGGGCCTCCAACCTTGGCAACTTTAAGATCTGTGGACTTCAACTCCCAGAATTCCCCAGCCAGCACGGGAACAGGGGGCTTGGGGGGGTGGGGGGTTTGGGTGTCTTGCCCAGGCCGCTTTCAACTGAAGGTGTCTCTTTTTTCAAGGGCTGGGTCCTGCCCCACAGATGGAGGAGGCTGAGATGCAGAAGCAAGCAGAGCATTGCAACGACCGGAAAATGGCTTCCAAGCGAGTGCAGGAACTCAGCGTCGATCTCTTCTTCGCCGTGTTTGTCAAGGTCGGGGGTTCGAGGCCCATTCGGGACGCCGGAGGGGAGGGACAGGCACAGAAGGGGAATGGGGTGGGGGTGTTTCTTAAAATCGGCCGGGTGTTTTGTTTGTACAGCCCCCGTCCGCTGATAGAAACATCGCATTTCTTTCTTTCATCGATCCGCAGCCGGTCCTCGACTTACGACCGCAACTGCGCCCAACGTTCCCGTCGCTTAAAGGAGACATCGGTTCAGGCGAGGTGTGCCCCGTTTTATGGCCTTTGCCGCCGCCGCTGGCTAACCAAGTCACTGCGGTTGTTAAGTGAGTAACACGGTTAAGTGAATTCCCATGGGTTTTGCCGTCAGAATGTCGCAAAACGGGAATCGCGTGACCTCAGGATACGGCAACCGTCGTAAATATGAGCTGCCGAGAGTCTGAATTTTGATCACGTGACCATGGGGACGTGGCAGCGGTCATAAGTGTGAATAATGGTCATAAGTCTCTTTTTTCGGTGACGTCGTAACTTCGAATGGCCACTGAACGAATGATTGTAAATCGAGGACTATACATATAGTAGAGTTTCTCAACTGAGAAACTTTTTAAGATGTGGGGAATTCTGGCCATGCTGCCTGGGGAATGCTGGGAGTTGAAGTCCGCATGACCTAATTTAGGAATGCTGGGAGTTGAAGTCCACACATCTTAAAACGTGCTAAGCGGAAAAACCCCGATCCCCAAATGTATCATAGGGGAGATTTTTCTTTTGGGGAAAAAAAAAAAAGACCTACGAATTTTTCAATGAAAATATCAATACAAGCAGTCCTCCACTTACGACAGTTCATTTAGTGACCGTTTCAAAGTTACGACGGCACTGAAAAAAGTGACCTAGGACCCATTTTTCACACTTGCGACTGATGCAGCATCCCCCTCGGTCACCTGATCAAAATTCAGGACGCTCGGCAACCGACTCATATTTACGACGGTGTCCTGGGGTCACGTGATCCCCTTTTACGACCTCTCTGACAAGCAAAGTCCATGGGGAAGCCAGATTCGCTTAACGGCTGCATTCCTAACTTAGGAACTGCACTGACTCGCTTAACCACGGCGGCCGGAAAAGCTGTAAAACGGGGCAAACTCGCTTAACAGACGTTTCACTTGGCAACATCAGTTTTTTTGGTCGTAATTCGAGGACTGGCCGTAAAAGCAAGGTGCCTCCACCTCTGATCTAAGTCCTTTGGAGATCTTTTCTTGCTCCTTCCCTTGATAGATCCGTGGATCTACCCTCGGGGTTCGATCCGAGCCAAAGGCCTCTGATTATTTGTCGTCTTTCCAAAGCTTCGCACGAGGGTTTTGCACGAAGCTTGGCTGGGAACCAGGTTCGAATCTCCGGGTGCCACGAAGGGGCTGTTCCGCTTTGCTCATCCCTCCCTCTTTCTGTGACCCCCCCCCCGGTCCCCGTGTGTTGTGTCTTGCAGGAATGTGGACCGCTGGAGTCGGAGGCCATGGTGATGGGCGTCCTGAGCGAGGCCTTTGACGTCCTGGTGCTGCGATTCGGTGTCCAGAAGCGCATTTATTGCAACGTGAGTCCGTGCGATTCCCGGGCTGGCAGGACGGGTGTTTTGAGCCTGCTCCCCAAACACGACAAACCCTCTGTAATTAAATCAACGACTCCTTTAATTAGGAGCGTCGGCAGCCCCGGCAAAAGGTTTCTCTCTCAACGCAGGCTAACAAGTCCGTCTGTCCGGGAGACAAATAGTTGTCTGTCACACCTATTCATCTGCACCCCATGCCTTTTATCCCCAGAGCTGGGGGTGGGGCTTCACTAGCAGCGGTGACTTTTCCGTCCCAAGGACCGGCCCATAGATTTCCACTGCTCTCCTCTCCTCTCTGCTTTCTGTGCATTCACGCGTCAGGCACAGGACCCAGCTGTTCCTCCTCTTCCTCATCGGCCACCTCCAGACCTGGGGGCTGTTGACTCTCCATCTGAGGGCTGACGGATGGCCCAGGCTCCACCCATCTCTCCCTCTCTCTCTCTCTCTCTCTCTCTCTCCCCCCCCCCCCCCCCCCCCCCCCCTCTCTCTCTCCTCCATTCCCTCTTTCCCCTTGGAGCTCTCAGGCTGCCTTGACGCCGCCCCCGCCTCCCCCTCCTCCTCCTCCTCCTCCTCCTCCTCCTCCTCCTCCTCCTCCTCCGATTCGGCTGCTGGAGGGGCCAGCAGCCGATAGGCTGTTAAGGATATTGTTGTGTTACCAACCAGCAGAGTAAGTGCACAGAGAAACGGTACTGAGAGCAATGAATACAATACATACAAACTGGTTTAACAAAGCTTTTACTTTGTAGTGAAAAACAATTGCATAGTCTTTTTAATCAATCCAAGTCTTTAGCCATTCAAATCAGTCCGAAGTTACAGATATCTTCTTACCAGACAAACAGCAGTAATTCACGCTGGGAACAAATCACGATGATAGCAGATCCATCCACTTCTTCACACACGACAGTAACAGTTTCAACCAGCAAGTCAAGCAATGATGAGAGCAGGTCCAACAATGACTATAGCTCAGCTCCCTCCTTATGTACAGTTTACACTAGTAATTATCCACTTAAGATAAGTGAAGTCAGCAGTGCAATGACTCAACAGTACAATTATGATAATTGCAGTCAGCAGTTAGTCAGCAGTCAGTTACAATGACTCATCAGTACAATTACTCAGCATTACATCTGTTACAGCATTACATAAAGTTACAGAATACATTTAAAGTGATAGCACACATATATTGCCTGGACAACTTGTTAGGTTTATATCATATCCTAACAGGCCACAACAACAGGTCTGAGAATTAGCCGGGCAAACCATTTTTAAGTCTTTCAGTGCTGGAAAGGCGAACTGAACGAGACAAAATTGGATAGAACAAGAGAAGCTAGAAAAGGGAAAGATTTGCCTGGGGGGGCCACATAAAATACAGGTAGTCCTCGACTTACAACAGTTCGTTTAATGACCATTCAAAGTTACACCACCACCGAGAAAAGCGACTTAACGTCTGTTTTTCACAGCCGCGACCTTTGCAGCATCCCCGCGGTCACGAGATCAAAATTCAGACGCTTGGGCCCCGGCTCATAGTTACGACAGTCGCAGTGCCCTGGGGGGGGTCATGTGATCTGCGACCTCCGGACAAGCAAAGTCAACGGGGAAGCCGGATTAAACTGAACAAGCGGGTTCCTAACTTATCGACCACGGCGATTCATTTAGCGGCTGTGGCGAGAGAGGTCGTAAAAACGGGGCGAGACTCACTTAGCATCTGTCTCGCTTAACAACGGAAATGTCGGGGCTCGACTGCGGTCTTTTAAGTCGAGGGCTCTCTGTACTCTGAGCTACAGGAAGGCCTCCATCGCTAAAGCTGGAATCCATTTCCTGGCCAGAGATCATGGCTGCCCAGCGGGTCAGTGATGGCTCTGTCGGCCTCACTTAGCAGCTGTCTCACTTAACGATGGAAATTTGGGGCTCAGTTGCGGTGGTAAGTCGAGGACTACGTCTCCTGCCCTATCGCAGCTGCGGGCCTCTTGCTGCACAAGGCAGTTCAGGAGCCCGTTTGGGGAGGATGCTGCCGTTCCTCCCTCCATCTCTCCCTCCCCTTCTCCGATTGCTGTTTGGGGACGCCGGGCCGGGCCCAGCTGTGCCTCCATCTGCCCCTCGCCGAAACCAGGACCATTATCCCCTCCCGGCGCGGTCATTAAAGCAGAGCAGATCCTGCCAAGCAGGCAATTCTGCCCTCCCAACGATCGAGCAGGGAGACGTTGGATTTCATTTCCGCCGTCACAATCGGGACTCGGCGGCATCTGGTGGACTTCCGTCTGCGGCAGGCAGGTGCCGGTCCCCAGTGATCCGATGGCACGAGGCCAGGGAGAGTCGGGATGGGATGCTAGACCGAATTCTTTATTTCCCTTTTTATTTTGAAGATATCTACCAATACAGGCAGTTACATACAGAGAGATACAGATGATCAGAGTTTATTTATTTATTATTGATTTATTTATTAGTCCAATTGATATGCCGCCCTTCTCCATAGACTCAGGGCGGCTTACAATGCGTTAAGCAATAGCCTGCATACTTTTTTGTATATACCTGCTTATTAGGGCTTTCGGCGCCCCCAAGCGGTGTTGTTGTATACAAAGTCATTGCCCCCACAATCCGGGTCCTCAATTTACCTACCTCGGAAGGACGGAAGGCTGAGTCAACCTTGAGCCTGGTGAGATTCGAACTCGCACTAATTGCAGGCAGCTGGCAGCTCAGTGCTAGCACTTAACAGCCCTTTAGTCCGCTGCTCCACCGAGGCTTTTGTTGGAAGGGACCTTGTAAGTCATCTAGTCCAACCCTCCCCCCTCAAGCAGGAGACCCTACACCCGTGATGGTGAACCTATGGCACACGGAGCCATATCTGTGGACACGCGAGCGTTGCCCTAGCTCAGCTCCAGCACGCGTGCACGCACCGACCACCTGATTTTCGGCCCTTCCGAGTACCTCCGGAGGGGGGTTGGGGAAGATAGTTTTCACCCTCCCCAGGCTCCTAGAAAGCCTCTGGCGCCTGGGGAGGGGGAAAAACGGGTTAGCCATCACTGCCCTACATCATTTCTGACAGAGGGGGCAGCCCAGTCTCTTCTGGAAAGCTTCCAGGGATGAAGCTGAGGCAGCTTCTGTTCCACTGGTCCTCAACTTAGGAACAACGATGGAGCCCATAATGTCGGTTGTTCAGTGAGACGTTGGTTAAGTGAATCTGCCCTATTTTACGACTTTTCAGGCCACCGTTGTGAAGTGAATCCCTGCGGTTGTTAAGTGAGTCACACGGTTGTTAAGTGAATCTGGCCTCCCCCGTTGACTTTGCTCGTCAGAAGGTCGCAAAATGGGATCGCGTGACCCCGGGACGCTGCAACCGTCATAAATGTGAGTCAGCTGTTAAGCATCCGAATGTAAATCACGTGACTGAGGATGCTGCGACGGTCGTTAAGTGTGAAAAACGGTCAGAAGTCACTTTTTTTCAGTGCTGTTGTAACTTCGGACGGTCACTAAATGAACGGTGGTAAGTCGAGGACTACCTGTAATCATTTGCCAGGCACTCTCTGCACACTGAGATAACAGGAGATATTTAGAGGTGGTCCTCGACTTACAACCGTCCATTTAGTGACCGTTCAAAATTACAGGCTCATTGAAAAAAAAAGGTGACTTAGGGCCGTTTTTCACACTTACGACCAGTGGTCACATTATCGAAATTCAGGTGCTTGGCTCATCTGTCTCATATTTATGACCGTCGCGGTGTCCCAGGGGTCATGTGATCCCCCTCTTGGGACCTTCTGACCAGCGAAGTCCACGGGGAAACCAGATTCACTTAACCACCGTGTGACTAATTTAACAACAACAGTGATTCACTTAACAACGGCGGCCCAAAACAGGTCGCAGCACGGGGCCAAACCCACTTCGCAAATGTCTCCCTTAGCGACAGCAGCAATTTGAGTCTCGACTGAAGTCGTAAGTCGAGAACTACCTGGAGTCCTGCTTTCAAAAAAAACGGAGGCATTCCGCGTTACCCAGATCCTTAGTTGAGGTTTTCAAATCCTTGTTTCCGCAAATTGGGAATGTAGCCCAGGAAAGATGGAGTCCAGAAGGCAGACGGCAGAGCCAGGCAATTCGGGATCCACCAGCCCCAGGATCTCGGGGTGATGTGTGATCAACAGATTAAATCAGGGCTGGGCTTCAAAAATTTTAGCAAGGGGTTCTTTGCCCAGTTGCTGGGTGGGCGTGGCCATGGTGGGCGTGGCCTAGTTGGCCTCCTGCACCACGGCGGGGGGGCGGGGAGGATTTTTGCCCTCCCCGGGCTCCGGAAGCTTTCCTTGAGCCTCCGGGAGGTGAAAACGGCCTCCCCAGGCTCCGGAGGCACTCCCAAACTTCCGGTAGGCCTGTTTTCGCTGGCAGAGGCACTGCGGGCCGGTTCTTCGCTGTTTCCAGGGTGGCCCCACGGGCCAGATCTAAGCACCACGTGAGCCGGATACGGTCCCCGGGCCTTGAGTTTGACTCAAGACACAGAACATACCATATAGGCCAGTGATGGCTAACCTTTTTGCCACCGCGTGCCAGGAGCAGGAGAACCGGGGGGGGTCGCACGGACATGTGGCCACACCCATAATTCTGTGCGCCCCGTGCATGCGTGCACCCCCTCCCCGCTCCCTCCGCTCCTGGCACGCAATGGCACGGTAGGTCCGTTTTTCTTTCTCACCTGGCTCCAGGGCCTCTCTAGGAGTCTGGGGAGGGCGAAAATGGCCTTTGCCACCCTGCCAAGAGGTCTTCTGGAGGCCGAAAATGGCCCGTTTAACAACTTCCGGTGGGAATGGAAGGCCCGTTTTTTGCTGTCCCCAGGCTCCAGGGCCTCTCTAGGAGTCTGGCGAGGGCGAAAACGGCCTCCGGAGGACCTCTGGGGGGGTGGGGAAGGCCGTTTTCGCCCTCCCCAGACTCCTAGAGAGGCCCTGGAGCCTGGGGACAGCAAAAAATGGGCCTTCCCCACCCCACCCCACCCCCCACCTCCAGGCCCTCTGGAGGCAGGAAACAGCTTGTTTCCCTACTTCTGGTAGGCCCAGAAGACCCGAAAATCAGGAGCTGAGCTCACGTGCCCACTGATACGGCCACGTGTGCCATAGGTTCGCCATCACGGATCTAGGCCTTCCTCCTAATATTGTCCCCACAACAACAACCCTGTGAGGTGCGTTGGGCTGAGAGGGAATGACTGGGCCAAAGTCACCCAGCTGTCTTTCATGCCAAAGGCAGAACTAGAACTCACACAGCCACCCTATGATTGGTTCAAAGTCGCCCAGCTGGCTTTCATGCCTAAGACAAGACTAGAACTCATAACCACTGGGTTAATTCGTCCAAAGTCACCCCGCCGGCTTTCATGCCTAGACTAGAACTCACCGTCTAGACTAGAATTCACCGTCACCTGGTGATTGGCCTAGACCAGAGGTGGGATTCCCATAATTTGCCTACCAGTTCGGCTAAGCACCGAAAATGTGAGTGCCCATTCGCCCGAACCGGCTGGCTTTCGTGCCTAAGGCAGAACTAGAATTCACAGCCACCTGGTGATTGGCTCACCCAGCTTTCATAGCTTCCTTCCCGGAGGTTTCTGAATTTACCCCTACAAGAAGTCGGTTCCTGGCCACCTTTGGCCTCATCGGCCTTTGCAGCTGGTGCTGCGGGCATGTACCTGGCACCGGCTGCCTTAAGTGCCCGCAAACAGGCAGTCGAGAAAACACAATCCTTATTTCAAAACTCAACCCTGATCCGCCCTTTGATCCAGTGACCCAGCCTGGCTGACTTAGTGCCAGGATGAAAACCATATAATTTATTTACTTATTTATTAAATTTATCAGCCTCCCATCTTACCCGTGGGGGTAACTCTGAGCGGCTTACACTATTAAAAGATTTATTTTTATTTTATTTTATTTTTAAATTTGATTTATATGCCGCCCTTCTCCGGAGACTCAGGGCGGCTTACAATGCGCTAAGCAACAGCCTTCATCCTTTTGTATATTTTTATACAAAGTCAGCTTATTGCCCCCACAATCCGGGTCCTCAGTTTACCTACCTTAGAAAGGATGGAAGGCTGAGTCGACCTTGAGCCTTGGCGAGATTCGAACCTGCAGTAATTGCAGGCAGCTGTTCTTAATAACAGGGTGCTTTAGACCGCTCTACTACCAAGGGAATATATTGATATATTTAAAAATATATAAATGAAAGGTTAGAAAAATATAACTGTGCAAAATACAGAATGGGGTTGAAAAAGCTTTTTGTACATGGAGAGGGGTGTCTCTCATTTGGGGGGGTGTTTCCTTCACCGCTTGGTGCCCCTCTGCCTCCTGCCCCTCCCCGTTGACTCCGTCTCCCATCCTGCTCCGCCCATTGACTCCATCTCTCCATTCCCTTGCAGGCTCTGCCGTTGATGGGATTCCAGTTTCAAAAAGTGGGGAAAAAGCCACAGTTGTCGCTGGTGTGGGAACCGCAGAATGCGGAGCAGGATACCCCGCGGCAGGTAACGTTGCCCCCCACCTCTCTCCCCACTTTCCCCCCCACCCACTTCCCACCTGGCTCTCCTCCGCTCCTCCGCTTTTGCCCTGAGCCAGGCCCTGGTGCCATCCAGTCAAGGGCCACTGGCAGAGTTTCTCAGAGAACGGCCTTCCTCGGGTCATACGGTGCAACGGCACGATTTCAGTTACCAAGAATTGGATTGTGGTCTTTCCCCGTCTCTGATTTTGGCTCCTCTGATTTTGGCTCCTTGTCTAGATGCAACTTTAATCACTACGTCCCACTTCTCTCTCTCTCTCTCTCTCTCTCTCTCTCTCTCTCTCTCTCTCTCTCTCTTTCTCTCCTCTCTTTCTCTCCTCTCTTTCTTTCTCCCTCTCTCTCTCTTTCTCTCTCTCTCCTCTCTCTTTCTCTTTCTCTCTCTCTCCTCTTCCTCTCTCTCTCTCTTTCTCTCTCTCTCCTCTCTCTCTCTCTCCTCTCTCTCCTCTCTCTCTCTCTCTCCTCTTTCTCTTTCTCTCTCTCTCCTCTCTCTCTCCTCTCTCTCTCTCCCCCTTTCTCTCTCTCTCTCTTTCCTATCTTTCTCTTTCTCTCTCTCTCTCTTTCTCTTTCTCTCTCTGTCCTCTTCCTCTCTCTCTTTCTCTCTCTCTCCTCTCTCTCTTTCTCTCCTCTCTCTCCTCTCTCTTTCTCTCTCCTTCTCTCTCCCCCCTCTCTCTCCTCTCTCTCTCCCCTCTCTCTTTCTCTCCTCTCTCCCCTCTCTCTTTCTCTCCTCTCTTTCTCTCTCTCTCTCCTCTCTCTCTCTTTCCTCTCTCTCTTCTCTCTCTCTCTTTTTCTCTCTCTCTCTCTATCTTTCTCCTCTCTCTCTCTTTCTCTCCTCTCTCTCTCCTTCTCTCTCCCTCCTCTCTCTCATCTCTCTCTCCCCTCTCTCTTTCTTCCTCTCTCTCTCTCCCCCTCTTTCTCTCTCTCTCTCTTTCTCTCCTCTCTCTTTCTCTCTCTCTCTCCTCTTCCTCTCTCACTCTCTCCCCCATCTCTCTTTCTCTCTATCTCTTTCTCTCCTCTCTCTCTCTCTCTCTCTCCCCCCTCTTTCTCTCTCTCTCTTTCTCTCCTCTCTCTCTCCTCTTCCTCTCCCTCTTTTTCTCTCTCTCTCTCTCCCCCTCTGCACACTGAGATTACAAGACATAATTTCAGGTCGTCCTCGACTTAAAACAGTTCATTTAGCGACCATTCAAAAATTATGACGTCGTTGGAAAAAAAGTGACTTAGGAAAGTGACTTATGCACCATGGCCGGATCCCCAGGGTTGCGGGATCGAAATTCACCGGCTTCACAAATGATACATATTTATGACGGTTGAAGTGTCCCGGGGGGGGTGTCACGTGATCCGTTTTTGCGACCTTCTGACCAGCAAAGTCCAAGGGGAAGCCACGATTCACTTCACAAGCTTGTGACTAATTCAACAGCTGCAGTGGTTCACTTTACAACGGTTGACCCAAAAAGTTGTAACGTCGGGTACGGTTCCCTTAGCATCTACCTCTAGCGGATCTGGTGCTAATTGTGGTCGTAAATTGAGGATTATAAAATGTTCCAGTGGAGGGGGCCTGGGGCTCTCCATGAACAAAGACAGCCGATCACCCAATCGGACACTGTTGAAAAGGCAACAGATCTTGGCTGGATCGAGCAATGCTGACTTTCTTATTGAATTAATTAATTAGTATCCTACCTTTATTTATTTCTTTTTCAAATAGCTTCATGCAACAAAGACAGCCAACACACCTTCCTCCTCCTATTTTTACACATACAACAACCTTGTGAGGTGGGTTGGGTTGAGAGAGAGGGACTGACTCAAAGCCACCCAGCTGGCTTTCATGCCTAAGGCGGGACTAGAACTCCCCGTCTCCTGGTGATTGGTGCAAAGTCTCCCAACTGACTTTCATGCCTAAGGTGAGACTAGAACTCCCCGTCTCCTGGTGATTTATCCAAAGTCACCCACCTGGCTTTCATGCCTCTAAGGCAGGACTAGAACTCATGGTCTAGCCTGTTGCCTTAACCACTTTCAGTTCAGGAGAACTATCTGTCCATACCCTTTCTAGGGAGAGGGTTCAAGAGGGCCTGGACCTCAACTCTCCTGCCTCCCCCCCCCACCTCCACACCTAGGGGTGAGGATTGTAAGCACTCTGCACATGGTTCAGAGCCCTTTCCTCCAAACTTCATCCAGTCCAGACCTAAACTCAGGGAGGATCCCAGCTGAACGAGGGAGAACCAGCTTCCAAGAGCCTCACTGGTAATTCTCCACTGGGTACCGTTCTGTTGTTATCTGTTATCCTAAAAGAGGACCTGACTTGGGGCGCTGACATTGCAGCCCTGGTCAAAAGGGCCCAGCAGAGATTCTACTCCCTGAGACTTCTCAGGAAATAACAACAACTGAATGAGAAACTGCTGTTGACCTTCTACCGCTGCACCATAGAGAGTACTTTAACTTCCTGCACCTGTGTACGGTTTGCCAATTGCACAGTGGCAGATAGGGCAGCGCTCCAGAGGGTTAACGCCATGCCCAGAGGATCATTGGTTGCCCTTTCCCCTCCTTGGAAGAGCTTTATAGCTCCCGCTGCCTTAAGAAAGTTCAAAACATTCTTAAAGATCCATCTCATCCTGGGCACCCCTTTTTTTTTTGAACTATTACCATCTGGCAGCCGGTACAGGACAATAAAAACAAGGCTGAAAAACAGATTCTATCCCAGAGCAGTAACTATATTGAATTCTATTGTATAGTGCAATGTTAATGCAATATCCAAATGGACTCCGGGCAGTGGTGGGTTGCCTCCGGTTCGCACCGGTTCACAGGAACCGGTAGTAAAAAATTTTAGTAGTTCGGAGAACCGGTAATAACATTGGCTGGCCACGTCCCCGGCCCGGTCCCCGCTCACTTACCCCACCCATCTCACCTTTTACTTTTAAAAGCATTTTTTCTACAACCTCTTAAGCCGAAAAAATGCTTTTAAAAGTTTTTTTAAAAAGCCCCTGATGATCGCGCGGCTCAGCTGGGATCGTCAGAGGCTTTTAAAAGCATTTTTTTTCTACAAGCTCTTCGGCCGAAGCGGTTGTAGGGGAAAAAAATGCCTTTAAAAGCCTCTGGCGATCCCAGCTGACTTGCCTGATCTTCAGAAGCTTCTAAAAGCATTTTTTTTTCCTGCAACCTCTTAGAAAAAATGCTTTTAAATTTTTTTTAAAAAAAAGTTGGCCACGCCCACCCAGTCACATTAACCCCCCCCACAAGCCATGCCCACAAAATAAGCCACGCCCACAGAACCGGTAGTAAAAAAATTTTAGAACCCACCCCTGACTCCGGGGGATAGTAGGGGACAGGAAGACCTGGGGGAACATTGTCCATGGGGTCGCGATGGGTCGGACACAACTTTGCAACTAACGACAACAGTGCAATATCTGGATTTTTTTCAGTTCAACTGTATAGAATGCGAAGGATGTGTTGTTTTGGTTTTGGGGTTTTAAATGCCTGAAGATGGCATTTAATTCCGTTGCACGAGGTGCAGTGACAATAAAGTAAACTAATCGAACTAACTTACCCCGCCAACGGATTTCCTTGGCACCCGAAACACATTAGCCCGAGGGTAAAGTGGCTGTAAAAATGACAAATGCTGATATTTGCCTGGAAAAGGATCAGGAATAATTAACCAAGCTTGCCATGTGTTTCTATTTTAAAAAAAACAAAAAAAACCTATGTTGGACTTTGTCTGTAATACTGATTCCAAGAAAGCTGGTCGAGACCGAGGGCTGAAACAATGCCAGGCAAAAGGACGGGTCCATTCGGTCGGAAATGAGAAGTTTTTTATGCCTTGCAATCAGGGGTGGGCTCCAAAAATTTTAGCAAGGGGATCTCTGCCCGGTTGCTGGGTGGGCGTGGCCAGGGTGGGCGTGGCCTAGTCGGCCTCCTGCACCACAGCAGGGATGGGGCATTTTTGCCCTCCCCAGGCTCCAGAGGCTTTCCTTGAGACTCTGGGAGAGCAAAAATGGCCTCCCCAGGCGCCAGGGCCCCTCTAGAGGCCGGAAACAGCCCCAAACTTCTGGTAGGCCCATTTTTCACCTTCCCTGAGTCTCCGTGCGCACCCTGCGCTTACCTGCATCCAAAACGGGCTGCGTGGGGACCAGTGGTGGTTCCTCCCGATTCAGTCCGAGCCGATAGCGGTGACGATATGACGTCACCGAACCGGTTCTCCCCCCCCCGCCCTCCCACCCCCCCACCCCCCACGTTATTCTTACCTTTTATTTGGTCCCACCCCCAGTCTATTGCTGCCTCCTGAGTCCCAGCTGATGACTAGAGGGAAAAAAACTGTTTAACCTCTTGCTTCAAAGGGCCGCCCTACAGCTGATCAGTGCTAAAAGCAAACAAATGAGTCGGGTTGTAAGTGCGAGGACTGGTCGTAAGTGCAAGGACCTTCCAGAAATGATTCTGACCAGCTAGCCACGCCCACCTAGTCACATGACCTCCAAGCCACACCCACAAAATAAGCCACGCCCACAGAACCGGTAGTAAAAAAATTTAGAACCCACCCCTGGTGGGGACTCCTGGGAGGGGAGGGGAGGGGTGGGGTGGGCGGGGCCACCCAAGAGTGGGATTTGGGGGTTCTCCGAACTGCACAGAATCTTAGCTAGAGATTCTCCCAAACCCCCAGCAGCCCACCCCTGCTTGCAATACAGGCAGCCCTCGCCTTGCAACCGCAATCACAGCCCAACATTTACGGCTGCTAAAGCGAGACATTTGTTCAGCGAGCTTTGCCCCATTTTGCAACTTTTCTTGCCCCGGTTCTTAAGTGAACCACTGGCAGCTGTTAAGTTAATAACACGGTTGTTTGGCGTATCTGGCTTCCCTTTGGACTTAGTAAAGCCACACCTGGAATACTTGCATCCCGTTTTGGTCACCACGTTACAAAAGACATCTGAGTGAACCATGGATGGACAGAAGACATAGCTGGTCTAGTGAAGAGAAGGACCAGGGGAGACAGGAGAGCAATATTTGAGAGGCTGCCCCAGAGAGGAGGGGTGTGTGTGTCAAGCTGTTTTCCAAGGCACCCGAAGGCCAGAGAAGGAACAATGGATGGAAACTGAGCAAGGGGAGATTCAACCTGGAAATAAGGAGGAATTTACGGACAGTGAGAACAATCAACCGATGGAACAGAAGTTGCCTTCAGAAGTTGTGGGAGCTCCATCACTGGAAGCTTTCAAGAAGAGACTGGACCGCCATCTGTCAGAAATGGTGTAGGGTTTGCTTGGGTGGGGGTTGGACTAGATGACCTCCAAGATCCCTTCTGTTAATCTGTATCTGATAAATGAGCAATGATAAATGTGGCTTTTGGGGCCCAAATTCTGAGATTTGACGAGCATCGCGTTCCAGAGATCCAACTAACGTTTGCTTGGCTTCTATCTCCCACTCAAGGTCATCTCCATATTCGCCTTGGTGGACGTGGTCTTGAGAGCCGACAACGGGGCCACGAAGTACAGCGCGGTGCTGAAGAGGCCCGGTGGTGGACAATGACCAGGCCTGGCTTCCGGTCACACATCCTGCCTGTTTGCCTAAAAAAAACCCCCCACTAATATTGGCAGATATCCTGAACTGACTCCCTGGGAAAAGAACCGAGACTTTTAATTTTAATTTTAATTTTAATTTGGGCAGATGTTGTTTTTTTCGATACCGGGGTGTTTTTTTTTAAACGAGGGGAGGGCAAAGCCAAGATGGCGGCCGCAGCCCTTCAAGCCTCATGGCTCACATTTTTTTAAAAAAACGGTAGGGCTTCGCTTGCAGACCATAGCCACCATTTTGACTTTTTTGACCTGTTAGGTGTGGGTTTCCCTTGATTTTTACTCAAGCTGGTTGGTAAATCTCGGCTGCTTCCAGCACGGAGTCATGAATACTTTGGAAGTGTGAATCCACAATCTTTCCACCTTCTTCGATGGATTTGGGGAGGGGGGTTTTGAGGAGAGCACCTCACTTGTTGTATCTGGCCCACGGGGCGCTTCCACCTTGGTGTAAATAACCTCTTGCTCAGCCTTTGGAGGCTCATGTTTCCCATGTGGGGCTCTCACGTCCGCTGGTTAAACTGGAAGGTTCTCCATTGCGGTAGGATAGGAAGTTGCGACGGAGTAGTGTTGCTCTTTTTTTCCAATTCCACTTCTCCGCCTCTCGCAAAGCTACAACTTAAATCAGTTTTTTTGTGTGTGTGTTTTAACAATCTCTTCGTCCGGCCATATGAGTTTGGAGAGTCTGTAAGGACGACACCGTCTCCTCTTTGCTCCCCTCCCCCACCCGAAATTCTAATAAAGAAAAACTGGAAAAACTACCGTGAAATAAATTCCTGGAATCCCTCTAAAATTGGCTTCCGTTGTGGTTTCTTTCACGGCAGCTGACGGGGGGCAAAAATCCTATTGATTTTTGATTACATGTCGTAATTTTATCTAAGTATCTGCCTGGCTGGCAGGCAACACAAATTTTGAAGAGGAAGCATTGCGAAAAGGGATCTACGAGGGATTCGCAGAGATTACAGATAGTTTCCACTTACGAACGGTCGCTTAGTGACTGTTTGAAGTTATGATGGATCTGCCCACGGCCACTTACAACCCAGATTCAAAATTCTGCTGGCAATACACAGACACACTGAGTTGTGATATTCTTTTACTTTCAGGAAAAAATAAAGCAAAGTCCAATAAACAATCCAGGTCATACACAGATAAAGATAGTTAAATTGTCAATCCAGAAGACAAAGTCTTCTTACCTGTTGTTGTAGTCATATGCAATAAAACAGTTCTTTTTGGAGTTGCAAACAGGAACAAGTACAGCAGTAAAACAATTAATGAAACAGTAGAAAACAACAAGTAGCAATGATCAATCAATGATCATGCAGAGAGAACAGGCAGAGAGGAGCAGAGGTAGCAATAATAATGTAATAAGAAAAAATAAGCCATGATTCAAGCTTCCTCTTAAATACGTTGGCTACAGAGCTAGCCAATCAGAATACAGTATGATGCAATACAGCATTACAGTCTTAAAGCTATACATTACATTTTGACTGCAAACATGCATTGATAGTTTATATATATTGCCAACCCAACCAGTTAGGCAATAGCCGTTCCCTAACACCACATTTATCACATTTTAGACACTGAGTAACTAGCCATTTGCAGCGCTCTGCGGCCACGTGACTGCAATGTACGACGTTTTTGACGTGGCTCAGTGGCTAAGACGCTGAGCTTGTCGATCAAAAGGTCGGCAGTTCAGCGGTTCGAATCCCTAGTGCCGCGTAACGGGGTGAGCTCCCGTGACTTGTCTCGGCTTCTGCCAACCTAGCAGTTCGAAAGCAGGTAAAAAATGCAAGTAGAAAAATAGGGACCACCTTTGGTGGGAAGGGAAGAGCGTTCCGTGCGCCTTTGGCGTTGAGTCATGCCAGCCACATGACCACGGAGACGTCTTTGGACAGCGCTGGCTCTTCGGCTTTGAAACGGAGATGAACAGCGCCCCCTAGAGTCAGGAACAACTAGCACATATGTACGATGGGAACCTTTTCCTTTACCTCTAATTTCTGGCAAAAATCCCCAGCCTATTGCATATAATGAATTTCCTTAGCGACCATGGCTGTCGCTTAACAAAGCCTGCCGTCGCTTCAGGACCACTGCATTTGCTTAACGACCTCCACAAAAGTCAAAATTGGGTGCAGTCTTACGGTGAACCACTTAATTACCAGCGTGACTTACAAGCGTAACTCCAGGCTCGATTTACCGTCGTAAATTGAGGCCTACCAGCATGGCAGAGTGGCCGTGTGAAGCAGCTCCTTCAGAAAACCCCAATGAAGTACAGATAATCCTCAACTTACAGCCATTTGTTTAGTGAGCCTTCAAAGTTGCAATGGCAATAGAACAGAACAGAACAGGAATAACGCTAGAATGGGATGGGGTAGGATAGGAATAGGATAGGACAGGACTGAAATGGAAAAACGAATAGAACAGGAATAAGACTAGAATAGAATGGGATGATAAGATTGATTGGAATGGGATGGGATGGAATAGAATAGAATTTAGATTAGAAAAGAATAGAGAATAGAACAACAGAATTAGAACAGAATTAGAATTAGAATAGAATAGAATAGAATAGAATTTAGTAGACTAGAAAAGAATAGAGAATAGAATAGAATAGGAAAGAACAGAATAGAATTTAATAGACTAGAAAAGAATAGAGAATAGAATAGAATAGAATAGAATAGAATTTAGTAGACTAGAAAAGAATAGAGAATAGAAAAGAAAAGAATAGAGAATAGAATAGAATAGGAAAGAACAGAATAGAATAGAATAGAATAGAATAGAATTTAGTAGACTAGAAAATAGAGAATAGAAAAGAAAAGAATAGAGAATAGAATTGAATTGAATTGAATTGAATTGAATAGAGAATAGAATAGAATAGAATAGGAAAGAACAGAACAGAATAGAATTTAGTAGACTACAAAAGAATATAGAATAGAAATAGAAATAGAATAGAATAGAATAGAATAGAATAGAATAGAAGGAAGCAAAACTCACTTAGCAATTGTCTTGCTTATCAATGGAAATTTTAGGCTCCCATTGTCATAAATCAAGGACCACCTGTATACCACCATGACAAAGTGGAGTAGCAGTTAAGTGCCATTGTCATGACAGATGTTGGAAAATTCCATGATTCAAAACTTCCCCTACCCATAAACGTGTTCGGTAAGAAGGGAAATTTCCATGGCCAGGCAACCTCAGCCTCTTTATAACACGTGGACTTCAATTCCCAGAATTCCTGAGCAAGCATGCCTCAGAGTCAGCCTGGCTAGCTCAGGAATTCTGGGAGTTGAAGTCCACAGGTGGTAAAGGGGCCAGACCCCTGCTTTATGGGGCAGAGGTCACCAACTGATGGTCCGTGGACCACTGGTGGTCCATGAGAAAATTTTGGTGGTCCGCAGAAAAATTATTTGCATTTTTGATATTGCACTAAATCAGGGGTCCTCAAACTACGGCCCCTGGGATGGATACGTGCAATGAACGTTTATGTTGCTGCAGAGAGTCTCCCCCTTCGGGGTCTTTTTGCATGGGTTGGAGGGGGGCAGAAATTCTGACTTGGGGTCTGCTTCGGCCTCCTGGTGGGGGGCTTTGGGCGAAGGCTGGAGGGAAGAGCTGCTGGTGGCGAAGAGCCGGAGGGCCTCGTTCCAGTGGGACTGCATCATGGCCTGCAACTGGCTGACCATCTCAGTCCGCTAAGCCTCCAGGCGCCGGTACCTGGCCTTGCACTCCCCCAGGTCTTCCCTCTGCTTGGAAAGCCTATGTATGCTCCTAGTCCTCAGTGAGGTGCTTCTGCTGAGCCTCCTCGGTCAGATCCAATTTGAACTGAGCTGTTTTGCCAACTCTTTCTCCTGGTGGCTGCTTAGTTCCAACAACTGTTTCCTGTTGGGACCCTAAGGAGCCCGGGTGGGTAGGCGAGGAGTGGCCGGGAGGAGAGGGGCGAGTAGAGGCCGGCGTGGCGCCCCTCAACGTGAGTGACATTGAGTTGGCCACACCCACCCAGTCACCTGCCCACCTAGCCACGCCCACCCAGCCAGTCATTAGGCAGGTTATATATAGTTATATATATATATATATATAACTATATATATAAATTTTCTTACTTCTTCATAGGGTTTATGTGTGTTTTTCTTCTAGCCAGGTTTTCCCTACGTAGCCAAGGTTTTTTTGTAGCTCCAGCTCAGTAGAATCTCATCTACTCGGTTCTGGGCTTTTTTCTTTTCTTTTCTTTTTTCTTTTCTTTTTCTTTTCTATATATAGTTATATATATAGTTATATAGTGGTCTGCGGGATTTTAAATTATGAATTTAGTGGTCCCTGAGGTTCGAAAGGTTGGTGACCCCTGTTGTGGGTATTTGTAGGAACAGAGCCTTCTAAAAAGGGTGGAGTGGGGTTGAGGGCTGAGTGGCAGGAGGGGTAGGTAGGTAGGTATGGGTGCCAAGTTGGCTCAAAAGTACATCAGGTGAGCCTCGGTGGGAAATTAGCGCGTATCTCATTCCAGAGGACAATCGATTGATTGAGTATATCATGCTGGCTCAGGAATTCTGGGAGTTAAAGTCCACAGGTCATCAAGGAGCCTGAGTGGCGTAGGAGGCTAATGCCTCCTACTAAGGCAGCATTTAACATCCAGCTGCCTGCAATTACTGTGAGTTCAATTCTCACCAGGCTCAAGGTCAACTCAGCCTTCCATCCTTTCTAAGGTGGGTAAAATGTGTTGACAGGGGGGCAGAGGTCGACCCCGAGGCCCCTTGTATGTGGGGTGCCACAGGGGTCGGTTCTCTCACCCCTTCTGTTCAACATTTATGTGAAGCCGCTGGGTGAGATCATCCGTGGTTTTGGGGTGAAGTATCATCAGTATGCTTATGATACTCAGCTATACATCTCCACCCCGGACCACCCCAATGACGCCCTTAAAGTGATGTCCCAGTGCCTGGAGGCTGTACGGATCTGGATGGGGAGGAACAGACTCAGGCTCAACCCATCCAAGACCGAGTGGCTGTGGTTTCCGACGTCCCGATATAGTCAATTGGTGCCATCACTGACTATTGGGGATGAGTCATTGCCCCCCACGGAGAGGGTTCGCAACTTAGGCATCCTCTTGGACTCACGGCTGTCTTTAGAAGAGCACTTGACGGCTGTGGCCGGGAGGTCTTTTTATCAGGTTCGCCTGATTCGCCAGTTGCATCCCTTTCTGGATCGGGACTCGTTAAAAACGGTCACTCATGCCCTCGTCACTTCACGCCTGGACTACTGTAATGCTCTCTACATGGGGCTCCCCTTGAGGAGCACCCGGAGGCTCCAGCTGGTCCAGAATGCGGCCGCGCGGGTAGTTATGGGAGCAGCATGGCGCTCCCATGTTGCTCCCCTCCTGCGCGAGCTGCACTGGCTCCCTGTGGTCTTCCGGGTGCGCTTCAAGGTCTTAGTTACCACCTTTAGAGCGCTCCATGGCTTAGGACCGGGGTACTTACGAGACCGCCTTCTGCCACCAATAGCCTCTCACCGCCCAGTACGCTCCCATAGAGAGGGGCTCCTCAGGGTGCCGTCGGCCAAACAATGTCGACTGGCGGCCCCCAGGGGGAGAGCCTTTTCTGTGGGGGCACCCACCATCTGGAACGAGCTCCCCCCAGAGATACAGAAGATTCCGGATCTGCGCACTTTCCGCCGTGCCATCAAAACATTCCTGTTTCAGCAGGCCGGCCTGGCCTAACTTTCCCTTTATATTGCTTTTTGATTTTATTTTAAACTGGGATGTCTTGAATTATCTAGGACCAGAATGTTTAGTATATTTTAATTGGTTTTTTTTTATTATTAACGTTTGTATTACATGTATTTTTATCGTTCGCTGTTCACCGCCCTGAGTCCCTTAGGAATAGGGCGGTATATAAATTTAATAAATAATAATAATAATAATAATAATAATAATAATAATAATAATAATAATAATAATAATAAAATGAGGACCCAGTTTGTGGGGGCAATAAGCTGACTTTGTATAAAATATACAAAAGGATGAAGGCTATTGCTTAACACATTGTAAGCCGCCCTGAGTCTCCGGAGAACGGGGGCATATAAAAATAAGTAAGTAAGTAAGTAAGTAAGTAAGTAAGAAGCCAGAGTGGTCCAGCTCTGCTTCAGAACGTTTCTCAACTTCAGCCATTTTAAGATGAGTGGACGTCAACTTCCAGACGTCCAACTCTTTGCAGCAACTCTGTGACATCCGCTAAATAGTAAGATTGGCCCAGGATGCTGACAGATGTCACGGCTAATCAAATGTGGCGAATCTCCAATCTCTCTGCCTTCAGAGCTCTTCTCTTCGCAGGTGGTCTCGTCCCCTAAAAATACTAATATTAATATCCAATAAACAGCAATCTGTTTTCTGTGCAAGATAATCCCTGACTTCAATTAGGGGGGTGACAGGATAGCAGCGGTCCAATATTTGAGGGGCTGCCCCAAAAGAAAAAGGGGTCAACCTATTCTCCAAAGCACCCTGAAGGCAGGACAAGAAGCAACGGATGGAAACTCATCGAGGAGAGAAGCAACCTGGAATTAAGGAGAAGCTTCCTAACGGTGAGGACAATTGATCCGCGGAACGGAAGTTGCCTCCAGAAATTGTGGGCGCTTCGTCATTGGAGGTTTTCAAGAAGAGGTTGGGCAGGGCGCTTCTCTGAAATGGTATCGGGTATCCTGCTTGAGCAGGGGGTTGGACTAGATGAGCTCCAAGGCCCCTTCCAGCTCTGTCATTCCGTGGTTATCTGCCAGCGATGAATCCAGATCTATTAAAGACTTAAGATCCAGTTGCAGGCACAAAGCCTCAATGTTTCTCAACCTTGCAACTTTATTTTTTTTAATTTTTTAATTTTATTTTTTATTATAACATATAACAACAATATAAGACATACAATATATATATGTATATGTATATGTATATGTATATGTATATGTATATGTATATGTATATAGAAAAAAACAGAGATGGGAATGGGTACCATACAAGTAAGAGAAGCAGAGGCAATAAAGAGCCTTGGTAGTACAGGGATTTAAGGCACCCTGTTATTAAGCTGGTTATTAAGACCAGCTGCCTGCAATTACTGCAGGGTTCGAATCTCGCCAAGGCTCAAGGTTGACTCAGCCTTCCATCCTTTCTAAGGTAGGTAAATTGAGGACTCAGTTGTGGGGGCAATAAGCTGACTTTGTATAAATATACAAAAAGGATGAAGGCTATTGCTGAGCACATTGTAAGCCGCCCTGAGTCTCCGGAGAAAGGCGGCATATAAATCAAATAAAAAATAATAATAATAAAAAAAAATAAGTGGGGGATTTTTTTTCTTGCCTGAAAAAAAACAGAATTTCACGCACGGGAGACCAATCCATTATGGGCACGGAAAGTAGTACCCTACGCTGCCAACCATTTCATCATATTCGAATCACCATTAAATGAGTGCGCCTTTTGGAAGCGCATAAAAGCTAACAGAATTGTGCCAGCCCTCTAAAAAACAACCCAAAGCACAACATTGGATGATACTTTTATTGAGATTAACACAAGGTTGCATGAACGATCGTACAAGCTTTTGGGTTCTTCAGAATTTAACAATCTTGAGCTATTTTGCTTAAGATATTCTGATTAAGATGTTCCTCTATATTTTGAGTCTTTCAGGCTGTTTTTCTTTAACTGGGACCCCCACTTCCCATCACTCTAAGTCAGGGGTCAGCAATTTGCGGCTCTGGAGCCACATGTGGCTCTTTCATCCCTCTGCTGCGGCTCCCTGTCGCCAGTCGGCACAACAATTTTGAGAGGAGCTTCCAGTTGGGTGGGGGGGGGGGAGCCAGTGCAGCTCGCGCAGGAGAGGTGTTACATGGGAGCGCCACGTCGTTCCCGTCACCACCCGTGCGGCCGCACTCTGCGCCAGTTGGAGCCTCCGGATGCTCCTCAAGGGGAGCCCCATGTAGAGAGCGTTACAGTAGTCCAGACGGGAGGTGACGAGGGCGTGAGTGACCGTGCGTAAGATTAACTCCAAGGTTATCTTCAAACAAACAGTCAAGTAAGCGATACCCCAGTCAAGGAACTGCCAAAGAGCCATCACTAAACAGACCAACCAAAGGACCTCTAAGACCGCCCCCACCAACACTGATAAGGCAAGTCACCAGAGTATAAATGGATAAGCAAATAGCACTCCTTACTAGAACTGATGATGTAACCTAGTTAGGTCATGAGACGTCTGCAAGAAAACAAGCAAGCTCAGAGAGCACCAAGGACCCCCTCACGCCAACTCTGAGCTACAAATATGATATATGATAGGAGAGACGATTTTAGCTCAGGATTGTAATGAAGGGTACTTGGTGCTCTCTGAGCTTGGTGCTTTTCTTACAGATGTTTCCTTGCCCGACTAGGTAACATCATCAGAAGGGAGTGGGGTTTGCAGGGAGGAGGAGGAGGAGGAGGAGGAGGAGGAGGAGGAGGAGGAAAACTGTGGGGTCTTTGGTGCTCTCTAATCTTGGTTGTTTTCATTATCTAACTAGGTAACATCATCAGTGCTAGTAGGGGAGTGGGGTTTGCTCTCATCTTATCTTCTAATGCAGTGATGGCTAACCTTTTTGCCATCGCCTGCCAAAAGTGGGGGGAGCTTTTGGCACACCCAAAATTCTATGTGCCCTATGCATGCGCGTGCAACCTCCCCCCATGCTCCCCATGCTTTTGGTACGCGATCTCCCCAGTCTCCAGAGCCTCTCTAGGAGCCTGGGGAGAGCCAAAAACGGGCCTTCCCTACCCACCCCCAGGACCTCTGGAGGCAGGAAACAGCCTGTTTTCCCTACTTCTGGGTGGCCCAAAAGGCTCGAAAATCAGCTGGTCGGTGTGCACACATGCGTGCCGGAGGTGAGCTCGCGTGCCCACCGATATGGCTTCGCGTGCCACCTGTGGCACGCGTGCCATAGGTTCGCCATCATGGTTCTAATGGTTTGCTCTTTCAACGTAGGTTGGAGCGATCCAAGGAACCACCAAAATAAAATTTACTTTGTTGGTTCATGAAAGATCTGCAGGAAAACAAACAACCAAGCTCAGGGATGTCCATGGAAATTCTCCATCCTCCAGGTCACACGGTTGCCCCAAAGTTCCAGTTCAGAACTGAAGAAGCTTCTTGGAGGAGAAACGTTTTCAAAGGAAAAAAAAAAAAAACAAATCAAGGAAGTCCAGTCGCCTTTTGGAAGAAGCACTTTTGGGACCAACCAAGCTCAGAAAACATCGGGGATCCTTCATAGATCAGACTCTGAAAGGTCCCAACGCGGATTCTTCTCCGGCACCATGGAGGAGCACAGAGAAAGAACCCCTCTCTACGGGATCCTCAAAGCCACCCCGGAGGAGAAAACGAGACCTCTTCAATCCCGTCTCCGTGCCCCGCAGATCCACCCATGAGGTTCTACAATGTTGTGGCCCGCCAGCGTCCAGGGGAGCTGGTGGCAGACTCAGATAGTGAGGAGGTTGGGGAGGAACATGGACCAGTCCTGGAGTCTGGGGAGGGCTCTGATGAGGGCTCTGCATCGGAGGCAGAGAGGGGGCCAGGGCCGTCTGACAGTTGTCAGCTGCCTTCGGAGTCGGATATCAGTGGGGCAGAAGAATAGCTGGAGCCTGTTCCCGATGTGTGCATGCACAGAGCTGCCAGGAGAAGGAAACAGCTACGGAACAAGGGCCGACTCAGGAGTAAAGCCACAGGTGGACAGTGAATGGCCCCTCCCATAGGGAATAAAGAGGAGCGAAGGGGAGTGGAGTTTGCAGGAGACAAATAGTTCAATTCACGAGTGTGAAGATCTGTTCCTGACTCCTTGCCAACTAATTGCTACTACAGCGTGGCGTTTGGAAGATATCGGCCTGGCAACTTTCCAAGCCTGATAAAGATCTGTAGTTGTGAAATCTCATGAAAGACGGTTTGCCGGGATTTTGCCGGAGAGGAATTTCCCTTTAACCTAAATAAAAGAGGTTTTAGCGGGACGAGGAGTCTGCTTCAGGATCTTGGGTCGGAACATACAAAAAGGAGCACCACCTACGCTGACTTGTCCACTTCCTGACGGATCTTCTTCACCGACAGCTTGATGTTGAATCTGATGCTGTGGAGGATGTTCTTGAAGTAGGTTTTCTGGTGGACTTCGAACTGCAGAAGACACACGTCAAGTCTCAGGGCAAAGGTTTAAGGAAGAACCCGAGGTTCAGGAAGGATGGACAGGACCCACTTTGCGTGCAGGTGGAACAAACCTACCGGGGCTTGACTACTACGAGGTAGTCTTCTTAGGGCTCACCCTAGAAGACTACAGTATTCAGAAGGTGAAAGTTGCATGAAATGTAGCAACGACACTGCTCACTTGTGCAAGAGCCGAGGTGGCGCAGTGGTTAGAGTGCAGTACTGCAGCTACTCCAGCTGACTGCTAGTTCAGCAGATCGGCGGATCAAATCTCACCGGCTCAAGGTTGACTCAGCCTTCCATCCTTCCGAGGTGGGTAAAATGAGCACCCAGATTGTTGGGGGGGCAAGATGCTACTTAGTACACTGTCTTTGGTGTAAGAGTCCTCGGAGAGTGGGCGGCATAGAAATATGACTAATAAATAAATAAATAAATAAGCTTTCAGGAATCATTTAAGATTGTCTTCAAATATCTACACCTTACCAGCTGCTTACTAGACACCACTTAAATTGCTGCTGCTGCAGGTAGTCCTCGACTTACGACCACAATGGAGCTGAAATTCCTACTGTGAAGCGAGAACTTTCGTTAAAAGGAATATTGCCCCATTTTACGACCTTCCTTGCCTCGTTTGTTCAGTGAACTATTGCTGTCATGGATAAGTGAGTCACTCGGTTGTTAAGCGAATCTGGCTTCCTTCCTCCATGGACTTGGCTCATCAGAAGGTCGCAAAAGGGGGAATCGCGTGACCTTGGGACACAGCAACGGTCGCAAGTATGAAGCATTCGGCCCAGCGTCTGAATTTTGACACACGTGTGCATCAGTGGGGGGTTCTAACCGGCTTTACTACCGGTTCTCTTCATGCGCGCGCTTTGCGTGCAAAGACCAGCTGGCTGGTGCACATATGCATGCCGAAAACTGGAAAAGCAGCCGTGCATGCCAGGAAAATGATCTTCTGGTTTCAGGCGTGTGCATGAGCACCGGCCAGATGGTGTTTGAACACACATGCCTGCCAGAAACCGAAAGACCAAGTGACTGTTGCACATGCGTGCACACTCCAGAAACCGGAAGAGCAGCCGCTTGGCGCACACATATGCGCCGAGCGGCTACTCTTCCAGTTTCTGGCACTCCCACGCGCGCATGAAGACCAGGTGGCTGGCATGCTTTAACCCAGAAGAGCAACAGGCAATGGCTCACGTGTGCCACTTCTGGCATGCGTGCCATAGGTTCTCCATCACGGGTTTAGGGCACGGATTTAGTGAAATCCAGCAGGTTCTGACAGGTTCTGGAGAACCGGTAGCGGAAATTTTGAGCAGTTTGGAGAACCGGCAAATGCCACCTCTGGCTGGCCCCAGAGTGGTGTGGGAATGGGGATTTTGCAGTATCCTTCCCCTGGAGTGGGGTGGGAATGGGGATTTTGCAGTATCCTTCCCCTGGAGTGGGGAGGGAATGGAGATTTTGCAGTATCCTTTCCCTGGAGTGGGGCAGGAGTGGAGATTTTGCAGTATCCTTCCCCTGCCATGCTCACCAAGCCACGCCCACCAAGCCACTCCCACAGAACCCATAGTAAAAAAATTTGGATTTCCCCACTGGTTTAGGATCTTCTGCTTGTACAGGGGTTGGACTAGAAGACTTCCAAGATCCCTTCCAACTCTATTATTCTGGTGTTTTTTTTTATCCCCAAGGGATCAGCTGATATCACACAAGTTTCCTGAATATTTCTTGAAATCTTCCCAATTTTGTCTCCTTTTAATTTTTTTTTTTTTGAAAAAAACTTCATTGAGTTTTTTTTAAAAAAACATAAGTATATTGACATTTTCATTAATATCAGATGTGCAGTGTTTTTGACTATATACAAAAAATATTTCTGGTGATATTTCAAATTACTTTTTACCTTTGTTTAACACAACTTTTTCTCTTTCTTTCATTTTATCATGCATCCATTTATACCACCTTTCCCACTCAGTATAATAATCTGACTTCTCATCATCATTTATTTCATGGGTTAGTTTAGTCATCTCTGCGCATTCCAATATTTTCCTAATTATAAGCTCTTCTGGTGGTTGGGTCCTTTTAAATTTTTTTACCTGAATTTAGGGCAGTTTTCTTGTGTCGGCTTATGTGGGATTCCATATTTGCCAACCCCTGAATTCCTCAAACTTAGATGAGGCTACAGATGATGGACTTATTTCATCCGTTGAGGTGACTCCTTTGACAGGAAGTTTACCCTGATGGGAAATTTGACCTCCGATTCTCTGATACTTGCCTCATATTCCTTGTCCACGGCTCCGGGGTTGAGAAGGAAGTCCGGATATCCGATCATCACCATCATGTGCTTCAACTACAAGAGAAACTGGTTTCAAACACCAGCTGGCATTTCGAGCATCCGGTTCGCAACATGGCGCCTACTGGCCCAAGTGAGGTCTCCACTGGGTGTTGGTGACGGTACCCACCGTTCTCTCCTGATCCAACCCGGATTTTTTTTTAACAAGAGCTTAAAATTCAATGCAGGTTTAGAAGCACAAGGTCAAGCATTATGTGATTTGTGATTTGTAAGAATGAACCTGGGTAAAAAAAAATTTTGGGAATGGAATGGAATGGAATGGAATGGAATGGAATAGAATAGAATAGAATAGGCAGTATCCTTCCCCAGGAGTGGGGAGGGATTGGGGGATTTTGCAGTATCCTTCCCCTGGAGTGGGGTGGGAATGGGGATTTTGCAATATCCTTTCCCCAGGAGTGGGGAGGGAATGGAGGATTTTGCAGTATCCTTCCCCCAGGAGTGGGGAGGGAATGGGTATTTTGCAGTATCTTCCCTGGAGTGGGGACGGAATGGGGATTTTGCAATATCCTTCCCCTGGAGTGGGGCAGGAGTGGAGATTTTGCAGTATCCTTCCAGGAGTGGGGAGGGAATGAGGGATTTTGCAGTATCCTTCCCCCAGGAGTGGGGAGGGAATGGGGATTTTGCAGTATCCTTCCCCTGGAGTGGGGAGGGAAAGGGGGATTTTGCAGTATCCTTCCCCTGGAGTGGGGAGGGAATGGGGATTTTGCAGTATCCTTCCCCTGGAGTGGGGAAGGAAGGGGGATTTTGCAGTATCCTTCCCCTGGAGTGGGGAGGGAAAGGGGGATTTTGCAGTATCCTTCCCCTGGAGTGGGGAGGGAATGGGGATTTTGCAGTATCCTTCCCCTGGAGTGGGGACGGAATGGGGATTTTGCAATATCCTTCCCCTGGAGTGGGGGGGGGCGGGAGTGGAGATTTTGCAATATCCTTTCCCCAGGAGTGGGGAGGGAAGGGGGATTTTGCAGTATCCTTCCCCCAGGAGTGGGGAGGGAATGGGGATTTTGCAATATCCTTCCCCCAGGAGTGGGGAGGGAATTGGGATTTTGCAGTATCCTTCCCCCAGGAGTGGGGAGGGAAGGGGGATTTTGCAGTATCCTTCCCCAGGAGTGGGGAGGGAATGGGGGATTTTGCAGTATCCTTCCCCAGGAGTGGGGAGGGAATGGGGATTTTGCAGTATCCTTCCCCAGGAGTGGGGAGGGATTGGGGGATTTTGCAGTATCCTTCCCCTGGAGTGGGGTGGGAATGGGGATTTTGCAATATCCTTTCCCCAGGAGTGGGGAGGGAATGGAGGATTTTGCAGTATCCTTCCCCAGGAGTGGGGAGGGAATGAGGGATTTTGCAGTATCCTTCCCCTGGAGTGGGAGGGAAAGGGGGATTTTGCAGTATCCTTCCCCTGGAGTGGGGAGGGAATGGGGATTTTGCAGTATCCTTCCCCTGGAGTGGGGAGGGAAGGGGGATTTTGCAGTATCCTTCCCCTGGAGTGGGGAGGGAAAGGGGGATTTTGCAGTATCCTTCCCCTGGAGTGGGGAGGGAATGGGGGATTTTGCAGTATCCTTCCCCTGGAGTGGGGAGGGAAAGGGGGATTTTGCAGTATCCTTCCCCTGGAGTGGGGAGGGAATGGGGATTTTGCAGTATCCTTCCCCTGGAGTGGGGAGGGAAGGGGGATTTTGCAGTATCCTTCCCCTGGAGTGGGGAGGGAAAGGGGGATTTTGCAGTATCCTTCCCCTGGAGTGGGGAGGGAAAGGGGGATTTTGCAGTATCCTTCCCCTGGAGTGGGGAGGGAATGGGGGATTTTGCAGTATCCTTCCCCCAGGAGTGGGGAGGGAATGGGGGATTTTGCAGTATCCTTCCCCCAGGAGTGGGGAGGGAATGGAGATTTTGTAATATCCTTCCCCTGCCACGCCCACCAAGCCACACCCACAGAACCGGTAGTAAAAAAATTTGGATTTCCCCACTGCTTGTACAGGGGTTGGACTAGAAGACTTCCAAGATCCCTTCCAACTCTATTATTCTGTTATTTTGTTTATCCCCCAAGGGATCAGCTGATAGCACACAAGTTTCCTGAATATTTCTTGAAATCTTCCCAATTTTGTCTCCTTTTAAAAAATTTTACCTGAATTTAGGGGAACTTTCTTGTGTCGGCTTATGTGGGATTCCATATTTGCCAACCCCTGAATTCCTCAAACTTAGATGAGACCTAGACTACAGATGATGGACTTATTTCATCCGTTGAGGTGACTCCTTTGACAGGAAGTTTACCCTGATGGGAAATTTGACCTCCGATTCTCTGATACTTGCCTCATATTCCTTGTCCACGGCTCCGGGGTTGAGCAGGAAGTCCGGATATCCGATCATCACCATCATGTGCTTCAACTACAAGAGAAGCTGGTTTCAAACACCAGCTGGCATTTCAAGCATCCGGTTCGCAACATGGCGCCCACTGGCCCAAGTGAGGTCTCCGCTGGGTGTTGGTACCCACCATACTCTCCTGATCCAACCCGGATTTATTTTAACAAGAGCTTAAAATTCAATGCAGGTTTAGAAGCACAAGGTCAAGCATTATGTGATTTGTGATTTGTAAGAATGAACCTGGGTAAAAAAAAAATTGGGAAAGGATAGAATAGAATAGAATAGAATAGAATAGAATAGAATAGAATAGAAAATAAAACAGAACAGAACAGAACAGAAAATAAAACAGAACAGAACAGAAAATAAAACAAAATAGAACAGAATAAGAATTAGAACAGAACAGAAAATAAAACAATGGAACAGAATAGAATAGAATAAGAACAGAACAGAAAATAAAACAGAACAGAATAGAATAAGAACAGAATAGAATAGAATAGAATAGAATAAAATAAAATAAAATAAAATAAAACAGAACAGAATAGAATAGAATAAGAACAGAACAGAACAGAATAGAATAGAATAAGAACAGAACAGAATAGAATAAGAATAATAATAAAACAGAATAGAATAGAATAGAACAGAACAGAACAGAAAACAGAACAGAACAGAAAAGAACAGAACAGAACAGAACAGAACAGAAAAGAATAAGAATAAGAATAAGAATAAGAATAAGAATAAGAATAAGAATAAGAATAAGAATAAGAATAAAATAGAACAGAATAGAACAGAACAGAAAACAGAACAAAATAAAATAAGAACAGAACAGGAACCAGAACCAGTACCAGAACCAGTACCAGAACCAGAACCAGAACCAGAACCACAACCAGAACCAGAACCAGAACCGAACAGAACAGGAGGTTTCCAGTGATGTATTCAAAAAAGTGCCCATTTGCTGGAGTGATGAAGAACATCTTAAGGCAGTCTTTTTTCTCCTTGGCAACCTTAAAAAATTTGGACCGACTCCCAGAATTCCAGAGCCTTGCCCAGGAGTGGGCTGGATGCAACCTGAGTGGGGATTGACCCACACAAAACGCAACCGTTTGCCATTGTCTGCTCTAATTAGGAAAGTGCAGCTTCTCGGGCCGGGTAGTTCCATTCCCATGATCCCCTCCCGGGCTCCCTACCTTTGCTCGGGCTGCTCTCTGGGTTTCTTCATCCATCCATTCCAGTTCTTCAAGTCGCCGGTCCAGGATGTGCTTGATATCTTCCACTAACTGTTGCACCTGTTCCCAAAAGGTGATGGGAGAATCCCATCCGATAAAGAGACGGGGAGAAGAAAGAAAGAGAGACCACTTGTTGGTTGAGAGAAAGCCATACTCACTAGGCAGCACAGCCCGTTTCTCCGGGTTCTGGATGCTGCAGTAAGAGGGAAGCATCTGTCAGTCCTGCCTCAGCCTGAACTTCCAAGAAAGAACCATCCCAAACGCCATTGGTTGAAAAAGGTATAGTTTACTAAACGTCAACTGAATTACAGTAATGCAAAACCGGAACTGAAAAGCGCGCATCAAAATCCCCAGGTCTAATTTTCTTGCCCTCAGGTGTCTCCCATTGCTGCAAATTAAGTGAATCTTGTCATTCCCCACTGACTTTGCTTGTCAGAAAGTCGGAAAAGGGGGATCACATGACCCCGGGACGCAGCCACCGTCATAAATATGAGTCAGGTTTTTTTCAGTTTATTTAATAATTTTAAATTTTAAATTGATGTTTGTCTTGTGTTTTTAAATAGGCTGTACACCGCCCTGAGTCCTTCGGGAGAAGGGCGGTATACAAATAAAATTATTATTATTATTATTATTATTATTATTATTATTATTATTATTATTATTATTATTATTATTATTCAGTGCTGTTGCAACTTCGAATGGTCACTAAACGAATGGTTGTAAGTCGAGGACTGCCTGTGTTTCTGCAAGTCGCCCGGCGTCACTGTGAATGAGTCGGGCGGCCGTATAAATTTTCTTAATAAATGCATAAATAAAAAATTATGAGGATCTGAGGCCCCGGCTGTCCGGAAGATCCTGGATTGGGCGTATTGGGGATGGTGTACCCACAGGTGATCAAATCTGGGTTCTCGCGACCCTTCCTCTACCGTAGGCTCTTACCTTGGCCTTGCTGGTGGAGGAGAAATATTCTTCCACAAACAGGGCCCCCAAGGCCATTCCGAAGTGCTTGTTGGCTTGACTCAAGCAAGTTTTGGCTAGTTCCATCGGCTTCTCGGCCCCCTCCATCTCCTTGGCAAATTCGTGGATGGCATCCCGGAACGGAGTGGAGAGATGTTCGCTCAGCACCACCGCGATACGCCACAGCATGTAGTTGTGAAGGATCCTGGAGTGGAAGGAACACGATCAGATGGGATGAGTGCAGAGGGTGGGGGGGGGCAATCTTGGCCACTTGCAGAGCTGTGGACTTCAACCAGGGGTAGGCTGCTGGGGGTTCGGGAGAACCTCTAGAGGCTCGGGGAGGGTGAAAAACGGGCCTACCGGAAGTTTGGGAAGGCCGGAAACAGGCCCATTTCTGGTCTCAAGAGGGCCTCCAGAGCCTGGAGAGGCCGTTTTCACCCTCCCGGAGGCTCGAGAAAAGCCTCCGGAGCCTGGGGAGGGCAAAAACACACCACCCCGCCATGGTGCATAATCACTTATGACTGTAATTCTGGGCTCAATTCTGGTTGTAAGTCAAGGAATCACATACAGACCTCAAGTCAGCTTGACTGGCCATACGTTACAAGAAATAAATAAATGTAACACTAGGGAATTAAATCCTGGGTAAAATTCACACCTGTGCTGTTTTGTTCACATCCGCCAAACTGCAAAATTCCCCCTGTGAAACGGGCTTTATCCCAGGAATAAAGTGATAAATAGCAGAGAATCACAATTTACAGGATTTGTGGGAAGGAAGATTCATTAAAGGCAAGTGGCTGTGAAATCTCCATTCCTGCGATTTGCATCAATTTACGGGTGTAATTACGTAATTGATTCCAATGGCACCATTTGCCGTAAAACCTTGATTTAAGGGATAAGTCTTCAATTTAATGAAGATATCCGTGAAATCAGGTTGTGCCCAACCTTGATAAATTGAAGGTCTGTGGACTTCAGCTCCCAGAATCCCCCAGGCAGCACTGCTGGGAGTGTAAGAGTGATGGACTTCAGCTCCCAGAATCCCCCAGGCAGCTCCGCTGAGAGTGGAAGACCAATGGACTTCAGCTCCCAGAATCCTCCAAGGAGCTATGCGTGATGGACTTCAGCTCCCAGAATCCCCCAGGCAGCTCTGCTGGGAGTGGAGACCAATGGACTTCAGCTCCCAGAATCCCCCAGGCAGCTCTGCTGAGAGTGGAAGACCAATGGACTTCAGCTCCCAGAATCCCCCAGGCAGCTCTGCTGGGAGTGGAAGACCAATGGACTTCAGCTCCCAGAATCCCCCAGGCAGCTCTGCTGAGAGTTGAAGACCAATGAACTTCAGTTCCCAGAATCCCCCAGGCAGCTCTGCTGAGAGTGGAAGACCAATGGACTTCAGCTCCCAGAATCCCCCAGGCAGCTCTGCTGAGAGTGGAAGACCAATGACTTCAGCTCCCAGAATCCCCCAGGCAGCTCTGCTGAGAGTGGAAGACCAATGGACTTCAGCTCCCAGAATCCCCCAGGCAGCTCTGCTGAGAGTTGAAGACCAATGAACTTCAGTTCCCAGAATCCCCCAGGCAGCTCTGCTGAGAGTGGAAGACCAATGGACTTCAGCTCCCAGAATCCCCCAGGCAGCTCTGCTGAGAGTGGAAGACCAATGACTTCAGCTCCCAGAATCCCCCAGGCAGCTCTGCTGAGAGTGGAAGACCAATGGACTTCAGCTCCCAGAATCCTCTAGGAGTTATGCCTGATGGACTTCAACTCCCAGAATCCCCCAGGCAGCACTGCTGGGAGTGGAAGACCAATGACTTCAGCTCCCAGAATCCCCCAGGCAGCACTGCTGGGAGTTCAGACCAATGGACTTCAGCTCCCAGAATCCTCCAGGAAGCTATGCCTGATAGACCCAGCTCCCAGAATTCCCCAGCCACATAACTAGCTGGGGAATTCTGGGAGTTGGAGTCCACAGCTCTTCAAGTTGCCAAGGTTTGGGCACATATTTATTGAGGGCCGACTTTCTTAAATTTGGCAACCTTAAGACCTGTGGACTTCAACTCCCAGAATCCCCCAGCCAGCATGGTTCAGCAGCTCATGGCTGCTTTTACTGGGACTGAACCAGTCGCTCTCTTGCTGGGTACTTCAAGCCCGCTCCTTATTCCTGCAGCCCTTTCCCAACCCCTCATCCCCAGCCAGACCTGATCGGCGTCGTCTGGATGATCTCCGAGACCTGCTGCATGTAATCCGTGGCTAAGAGGACCACTTCTTCATCTTCCGAAAAACGCTCGTGGAATATCCTGTCCAGAAGACGCTTCCATTTTAACTGTGGAAAAGCAGCAAGCAGAACACGGTCCCTTCTGAAATTATTCATTCTGGATCGGGACTCGTTACGCACGGTCACTCACGCCCTTGTCACCTCACGCCTGGACTATTGCAATGCTCTCTACATGGGGCTCCCCTTGAGGAGCACCCGGAGGCGCCAACTGGTCCAGAATGCGGCCGCGCGGGTGGTGACGGGAGCGACGTGGCGCTCCCATGTGACCCCCCTCCTGCACGAGCTGCACTGGCTCCCGGTGGTCTTCCGGGTGCGCTTCAAGGTTTTGGTTACCATCTTTAAAGCGCTCCATGGCTCAGGACCAGGGTACTTACGGGACCGCCTTCTGCCACCAGTAGCCTCACACCGACCAGTTCGCTCCCATAGAGAGGGGCTCCTCAGGGTGCCGTCGGCCAAACAATGTCGACTGGCGGCCCCCAGGGGGAGAGCCTTCTCTGTGGGGGCACCCGCCATCTGGAACGAGCTCCCCCCCGGAGATACGGAGGATCCAAGACTTACGCATCTTCCGCCGCGCCCTAAAAACGTTTTTATTCCAACAGGCTGGTCTGGCCTAGCTCTCCCTTTTAAATTGGCTTTTAAATGTTTTTACATAAATTGGATGTCTTAAATTTGTTTTTTGAGCCCAAATTATTTAATCTATTTTTAATAGTTTTTAATTTTTGTAAGTTATTTGTATTTTTATCTTGGCTGTTCACCGCCCTGAGTTCTCCGGGAGTAGGGCGGTATACAAATATGATAAATAAATAAATAAAATAATTCATAATAAGCGACCAGCTATCCTGAAGTTGCTGCGGACTTTGTAATAGAGGGAAGGGCCAAAAAGTCAAAATGGCGGCGCAATGGAAATCCTGCCGGTCAAAATGGGGACAGGATTTAGGCTGCATGCTGATGGCTGCCATCTTGCCTTTTTAAAACCGATCCTTAGTTCATCCAGTCGGTTTTCACGCCTAAGGTCACATGATCAAACTCCAGACCCTTCTGACTCATATTTATGACGGTTGCAGAGTCCCGGTGTGTGTGTGTGTGTGTGTGACGTTATCCCCTTTTGCGACTTTCTGATGAGCAAAATCCATGGGGGGAGCCAGATTCACTTAACAACCGTGTGACTCACTTAACAACGACCATGATTCGCTTAACAACCGGGGCAAGGAAGGTCGTAAAACGAGGCAAAACTCATTTAAACAACTTAACAATTACCCTGCTTAGCAACGGAAGTCTTGGGTCGCCAAACTGTCATAAATATGAGTCAGTTGCCGAGCGTCTGAATTTTGATCGTGAGAACATAAGGGTGCTGCCACTGACCCGCTTAGCAACGGAAATTTGGGGCTCAATTGTGGTCGTAAGTTGAGGACCCGCTCAACTTGCGGGGAGGGGGGAAAGGTATTGGGGTGATATGAATTTAATATGAAAAGGGAAGACGTGGACAATTTGGTGGGTAGTGCAACCATATCCCCGCCCAATTTTCCTCCTGCTTTGAGGCCTGTCCTGACCCCTCGATGTTCCCTGGCCCCACATCCCAGCATCAGAGGATTCACATACTATAGCAACCAAAATATGAAATATGAGCGCATGTGTGTGCCGTGTCAAACAACACAACAATTCACTCAAGGGCACGTCGCCCACATAAGCGTGATGTGAAGTTTCCGAAAGATACCCTAATTAATTTATGAGCCATGAGCCAAACTTCAAAAGAAATACAGTTGTTTATTAGGAGCACCATTTCGGCAATATTCGGATGCAGTTAGAACTAATCCCATGTAGATTTACGTTCCCACGTAGGTTTACATTCCCCCATGACCCTGTCTCTCCCCTCCTCCCTGGCCATGTCATAAATCACATTCTCCAATTAACCACTTTGGCTGGCTGTGAAACCCAACACCCTCCGACTGATTGCGGTCAGGAAGAATGTATGGAATGCAGTTTCAGTTAGGGAAATCATTCAGCTCCACCCGTTCTCCCTCCCTCCTGCTCATGGCAACTTGAAAGCTTTGCAAGTTGACACGCGAGGCATCAAAAACACAGCAATATAGAAAGGGACCCACCCGTAGGTCGCCACTACCGGTCCAAACCAGCTGAATACCACCTCTGCCCGGCATCCAAACTTACGTTGGGTGTGATGCGCTGCAGTTCTCCCAGTGTCACTTTATTGTACATGGAGTTGATATCTCTCCGCAGGTCATCGTACTCGGAGATTGTTATCTGTCAAGTGGGGAAAAGTTAGAATTGGACCAGGGTTCCTCTCACAGCTAGGTCCCATCATCCTCTGCTCCAGGGGTGGGTTCTAAATTTTTTTACTACCGGTTCTGTGGGTGTGGCTTATTTTGTGGGTGTGGCTTGGAGGTCATGTGACTAGGTGGGCGTGGCTAGCTGGTCAGAGTCATTTCTGGAAGGTCCTCGCACTTACAACCGGTCCTCGCACTTACGACCCGACTCATTTGTTTTCTTTTAACACTGATCAGCTGTAGGGCGGCCCTTTGAAGCCCTGCGGCAAGAGTTTAAATGGTTTTTTTCCCTCTAGTCATCAGCTGGGACTCAGGAGGCAGCAATAGATTGGGGGTGGGACCAAATAAAAGGTAAGAATAACGTGGGGGGGAGGGCGGGGGGGGGGAGAACTGGTTCGGTGATGTCATATCGTCACTGCTACCGGCTCGGCCGAACCGGACCGAACCTGGAGGAACCCACCACTACTCTGCCCATCCGGGAAAGGCAGAAGTGGGGAGGTTTTTGTTCTAGTTCCTTCATGGGCCAGAACCTCCCCTCCCCCACTTCCCCCCAAAAATGAAAGGGTATCAAACTTGTGTTCCTCCCACCTGGTAAAATTTCTAGGAAAATGGTTCTGGGCATCGAACCCAGTCGTTTTCAATGATATAAAAAAGATGTTGGGACTCTGGAAAGAATGCAGAGAAGAGCAACAAAGATGGTTAGGAGCAGGGGTGAAATGTAAAATTTGTTACTACCGGTTCTGTGGGTGTGGCTTGGTGGGGAGGGGTGTAATGTGACTGGGTGGGCGTGGCCAAATCTTTTTTTTTTTTTATCTTTTCAAAGCATTTTTTCTAATGCTTTGAAAAGCCCTCTGCCGATCAGGCAACTCAGCTGGGATCGTCAGAGACTTTTCAAAGTATTTTTTTTTACCAACTCTTCGGCCAAGAGGTTGCAGAAAAAAATGCTTTGAAAAGCCTCTGACGATCCCAGCTGAGCCACGCGATCATCAGAGGCTTTTTTTTTTTTACTTTTAAAAGCATTTTTTCGTCAGAAGAGGTTATAGAAAAAATGCTTTGAAAGTAAAAAAAAAAGCCTCTGATGATCGTGCGGCTCAGCTGGGCATGGTGGGGGCGGGGGCGGCGCAGGGATTTTTGCTACCGGTTCTCCGAACCACCCGCCACCATCGCTACCGGATTGGGCGATCCGGTCCGAACCGGGAGCATTTCACCCCTGGTTAGGAGACTGAAGGCTGAAACATACGATGAATGGCAGCAGGAATTAGGTTTGTCTAGTCTTGTAAACTGGTTTTCCCAGTTGCAATGTATGGCTGTGAAAGTTGGACCATAAGGAAGGCTGAGCGCCAAAGAATGGAGGCCTTTGAACTCTGGTGCTGGAGAAGACTCCTGCGAGTCCCTTGGACTGCAAGGCGATCCAACCGGTCAGTCCTAGAGGAGCTCAACCCTGACTGCTCTTTAGAAGGCCAGATCCTGAAGATGAAACTCAAATCCTTTGGCCACCGAATGAGAAGGAAGGACTCATTGGAGAAGAGCCTAATGCTGGGAACGATGGAGGGCAAAAGAAGAAGGGGACGGCAGAGAACGAGGTGGCTGGATGGAGTCACCGAAGCAGTCGGCGTGAGCTTAAATGGACTCCAGAGGATGGTAGAGGACAGGAAGGCCTGGAGGAACGTTGTCCACGAGGTTGGACACGACTTCGCAACTAACAACAACACGTCTTGTGAAAAGAAGGACTAGGGGTGACATGATAGCTGTCTTCCAATATTTGAGGGGCTGCCTCAAAGAAGAGGGAGTCAAGCTATTCTCCAAAGCACCTGAGGGCAGGACAAGAAGCGATGGATGGAAACTCATCAAGGAGACAATCAACCTAGAATTATGGAGAAATTCCCTGACTGTGAGAACAATTAACCAGTGGAACAACTTGCCACCAGAAGTTGTGAATGTTCCAACACTGGAAGTTTGAAAGAAGAGATTGGACAACCATTTGTCTGAAGTGGTGTAGGGGTTCCTGCCTGGGCAGGGGGTTGGACTAGAAGACCTCCAAGCTCCCTTCCAACTCTGTTACTCTGTTAAATTGAAGAGTTTAGTACGGTTTAATCTGTGGGAACCCAGTTTACGAGGCTGTGGATGGCTGCAGGGGATGCACAAACCCTGAAAATGGGTGTCAGGTTTCGATGTCGTCTCACATAAAATAAATTGCATTTCCAAACAAATAGTCTTTGATGAAATCTTTCATTTATTAAGCACGACAATCTGTCCCCGATTGTGGCGCTTAATAAATGAAAGATTTCATCAAAGACTATTTGTTTGGAAATGCAATTTATTTTATCTGAGACGACATCGAAACCTGACAGATAGCCAACACTGACTTCCTGACCCCAAACCTTCCCTTTCCGTTCCCCAATTCTCTGCGTCTCATTGGCCATCTTCCAAATGCGCGGGTGGTTATGGGAGCGACGTGGAGTTCCCATGTAAGACCTCTCCTGCGCGAGCTGCACTGGCTCCCGGTGGTCTTCCGAGTGCGCTTCAAGGTTCTGGTTATCACCTTTAGAGCGCTCCATGGCTTAGGACCTGGTTATCTACGGGACCGCCTGCTACCACCAATAGCCTCCCATCGACCAGTACGCTCCCATAGAGAGGGACTCCTCCAGGTGCCGTCGGCCAAACAATGTCGACTGGCGGCCTCCAGGGGGAGGGCCTTCTCTGTGGGGGCACCTACTATCTGGAACAAGCTCCCCCCGGAGATACGGAGGATCCCGGATCTGCGCACCTTCCGTCGCGCGCTTAAGACTTTTTTATTTCATCAAGCTGGCCTGGCCTAAATCTTCTCCCCTTTTTAAATGTAAATTTTATTTTGTTTTTAAATTATGGGGTATTTTAAATTCAGACAAATTATTTAATTCATTTTTAATCTATTTTAAATTTTTGTATTTATGTGTTTTATCTTGTGGCTGTTCACTGCCCCGAGTCCTTCGGGAGAAGAGCAGTATAGAAATTTAATTAATTAATTAATTAATTAATTAATTAATTAAATAAATAAATAAATAAATAAATAAATAAATAAATAACTCTCCCTATATCTACTACTTCAGCTCCCAGGAATGTCCCCCTCCCATCTCATCTCCTAGGGGATAATATCTTCAGGGAAAATAAGTAGGTGAGAAGTCAAGAGTCCTCTTGCCAGCTGCCCCCTCTTCTCCTCCTTATGTCAGCACTAGAATAATTGCAGGTTGAAGTGGTGATGTCGGGTTTCTTTGATATCCAGGTTAAATGTGTGGCATGAACACCACAAGACAATGAGCAGATGAATGAAGGGTGTCGGTACATTCCGTCATATGTTTCTAGTTTCCCCTCTTTGAACGCAAAGCATTATCCGGCTGTACCAAAAGGCTATTCTGGAAAGGGAAACTAGCCGATGAAGGCTGCCCCCTCTGGGCCAGTTTTGCTCAGGGATCTAGAAGGACAAGATGGCGCACTCACATTGGCCAGCCTCTGCTCAGCTGGAGAATCTCCTTGGCTTTTTGTTTCACGTGTTCGGCACCCAGCAGGTTCAAAAGGCGCTCCATGAATATCACATACGCGGCCAAGATCTAGAAAAGACAAGATTTTGGAAACCCAGGAGATCCGGTCCCTTGAGCGATCCCAACAGAGCAGGTGGCCAAGCGATTAGCGCAATGGGAAGGCCCTTCTCAAGTGGATCAAGGATTTCTTTGCTGATGGACTCAAATGTTCTCAGAGGACCCATCTTTGCTCAGGCCCTGCTTGGCACCCCTTTTCTCAGCCTTCCCAGGCACCCACCTGCTCCTCCTGATGATTGGCTCATCTGTCCTGCAAAAAATTCTGACTTTCCCACAATGCATTGAAGCACAGTAGCGTTGCTTCAGGGTATTGTGGGAAATGGACATGGCTGCTTCTAAAGGAAGTTAGTTCACTCTGCTCAGGCTTTGCTTGGCACCCCTTTTTTTCAGACTTCCCAGGCACCCCAGCTGCTCCCTTGCTGATCTGTCCTGCAAACAATCTGAATTTCCCACAGAGGTGCGTCATTCCCAGGCATTGTGGGAAATGGACACGGCTACTTCTAAAGGATGCTCAACCCAACTCCGGCCCTGCTTGGGCATCTGCTCCCCTGATGATCTGTCCTTCAAAAGCTCTGCATTTCCACAATGCATTGGAGCACAGGAGTGTCCTTTCCAAGCATTGTGTGAAACGGACACGGCTACTTCTAAAGGATGCTCAACCCCACAGGCTCTGCTCTGCTTGGACCCCTGTTTCTGAGGTTTTCCAGACACCCACCTGTTCCCCCGAGGATTGGTCTTGCAGAAGCTCTGAATTTCCCACAATGCATCAGAGCACAGGAGCGTCGTTCCCAGGCATTGTGGGAAACGGACACGGCTACTTCTAAAGGATGCTCAACCCAATCGGGCCCTGCTTGGCACCTGCTCCCCTGATGATCTCTCCTCAAAAGCTCTGCATTTCCACAATGCATTGGAGCACAGGAGTGTCCTTTCCAAGCATTGTGTGAAACGGACACGGCTACTTCTAAAGGATGCTCAACCCCACTCGGGCCTGCTTGGACCCCTGTTTCTGAGGCTTTCCAGACACCCACCTGTTCCCCCGAGGATTGGTCTTGCAGAAGCTCTGAATTTCCCACAATGCACCAGAGCACAGGAGTGTCATTCCCAGGCATTGTGGGAAATGGACACGGCTACTTCTAAAGGATGCTCAACCCAACTCGGGCCCTGCTTGGACCCCTGTTTCTGAGGCTTTCCAGACACCCACCTGTTCCCCTGAGGATTGGTCTTGCAGAAGCTCTGAATTTCCCACAATGCATCAGAGCACAGGAGCGTCATTCCCAGGCATTGTGGGAAATGGACACGGCTACTTCTAAAGGATGCTCAACCCAACTCGGGCCCTGCTTGGACCCCTGTTTCTGAGCTTTCCAGACACCCACCTGTTCCCCTGAGGATTGGTCTTGCAGAAGTTCTGAATTTCCCACAATGCATCAGAGCACAGTAATGTAGCACCCAGGCATTACAGGAAATGGACATGGCTGCTTTTAAAGGATGCTCAGACCTGCTCAAGCCCTGCTTGGCGCCCCCGTTTCTCAGCCTTCCCAGGCACCCACCTGCTCCTCCCGATGATTGGCTCATCTGTCCTGCAAAAAATTCTGACTTTCCCACAATGCATTGAAGCACAGTAGTGTTGCTCCTGGGCATCGTGGGAAATGGACACGGCTGCTTCTAAAGGAAGCTCTGCTTTGCAAGAGTGGCTTGCCATTGCCTTTCCCCCAAATTTTGGAGGTAGATGGGCAGCATAAAAAAATCAGGAGGCTGTGAGTTCGATCCTAGGTAGAGGCAGATATTTCTCTCTCCGGGCACAGGGAGAATTTATCTGCCGAATAAAATTCCGCACTGGCGACAGGAAAGGCATCCAGGCAGTAAACAATCAGCTCCATTCAGTTGCCCAGAACTGCACCCCGCAAGGGACTATATGGGGTCATAAAAAGGAGGTGATGATGATGGGCAGCATAAAAAATTACTAAATAATAAATGAATAAATTTGTTTGCAAACCCATCTCTTCTTCAATGAGGTATTGAGGAGGACATGATATACTGTATATCTGTTTGTTTTTTTCCTTTACCTTTTCGCTTTCGTCATCCTGGCCCAGGTACAGCGTTCTCTCGGACAAGGTCAGCCCATCCTGGTCAATCTGTCAGGTGGAGAAAAAATACACCAGGTATTAAATCTGAAGTAGAACAAAAATTTATTCTATTCATTCCTCCCCTCCCTCTCCATGGTGGTGCAATGGTTAGAATACAGCATTGCAGGCTAACTTTGCCGACTGCCAGGAGTTCGATCCTGACCGGCTCAAGGTTGACTCAGCCTTCCATCCTTCCCAGGTCGGTAAAATGAGGACCCAGATTGTTGGGGGGCAAGAGGGCGATTCTGTAAACCGCTTAGAGAAGGCTGTAAAAGCATTGTGAAGCGGCATATAACTCTTGAGTGTTATTGCTAAACTTAACAACTGCATTGATTCACTTACTACCATGAAAGTCATAAAAACGGGGCAAAACTCACTTAGCAACTGTCTCACTTAGCGACAGGAAAGTTGGGCTCAAGTGTGGTCATAATTCAAGGACCACCTGTTCTGTTGAGCCAGGTACTGCCTTATCCTGTACCTGGGCAACTGGTTTTTTCTGCTTAAGTGCAGGACTTGCACGAAGAAAATTGAACACTGTTAATGTCATATTTAACCCCCTGCTTCGTGCGGAAATAAAATCAAAACGCCCCAAAAGTCCTGCATCTAATAAAAAGATGATAAAACAAGCTTTCTCTGAATTTGTGTCCGTGCATATGTCTCTCTATATGTATTTTTAAACCTGCAATTGTCTTTATTTGCAGAAACTTCACGCCAGTGGTGAAATCCAATTTTTTTACTACCTGTTCTGTGGGCGTGGCTTGGTGGGGCGTGGCAGGGCTGGGGGAAGGATACTGCAAAATCCCCATTCCCTCCCCACTCCTGGGAGAAGGATACTGCAAAATCTCCATTCCCTCCCCACTCCTGGGGGAAGGATACTGCAAAATCTCCATTCCCACCCCACTCCTGGGGGAAGAATATTGCAAAATCCCCATTCCCATCCCATTCCTGGGGGAAGGATACTGCAAAATCCCCATTCCCTCCCCACTCCTGGGGGAAGGATACTGCAAAATCCCCATTCCCTCCCCACTCCTGAGGGAAGGATATTGCAAAATCCCCATTCCCACCCCATTCCTGGGGGAAGGATACTGCAAAATCTCCATTCCAACCCCAATTCTGCGGGAAGAATATTGCAAAATCCCCATTCCCACCCCATTCCTGGGGGAAGAATACTGCAAAATCCCCATTCCCACCCCACTCCTGAGGGAAGAATATTGTAAAATCCCCATTCTCTCCCCACTCCTGAGGGAAGAATATTGCAAAATCTCCATTCCCTCCCCACTCCTGGGGGAAGGATACTGCAAAATCCCCATTCCCACCCCACTCCTGGGGGAAGGATACTGCAAAATCCCTATTTCCTTCCCACTCCTGGGGGAAGAACATTGCAAAATCCCCATTCCCACCCCACTCCTGGGGGAAGGATATTGCAAAATCACCATTCCCTCCCCACTCTGGGGCCAGCCAGAGGTGGCATTTGCCGGTTCTCCGAACTGCTCAAAATTTCCGCTACCGGTTCTCCAGAACCTGTGAGAACCTGTTGGATTTCACCCCCGCTTCACGCTGCTGATTCCAAATGTCCATAAGGTCAACAGAAGTCAGACGGAAGGAGTTTTAATTTTTTTTTTAAGCATTTCAAGATCTTTTCCATAAATACGCGCAACGCCCAAATGATGCCGCGTGGAAGAACCGTGCAATTCGAGATATTTGAAGCTCAGCTTTCATCCCTGCCCCCCCCCTCCATCCTCCCCACGGCCTGGTGTGCATAAATATTTCATCGAGTTAAAAATCCGGCCCCAACTCCTATCGGTGCATTTAAAGAGTTTCCCAAGAGATGGGTACTTGTCTCTTTTAAATTGCTTTCTGTGATTTGCGGCCCCGTCTCTTTCTTTCCCAGCAGTCAACCTCGTTTTGAATATTGTTTATGATTTTGGCAAATTTGATGGGCCCTTCTTCCATCTTTAAATCCGTGTCGTTATTAAAGATGCAGCAAAGTATCAGATCGGGAAGTGGGGGCGATCTTTGGGGCCTCCCTTTGATTTCCACAGGACACAGATCAACCTCCAAGCGGCCTCAACGACCCTCTAGAAAAGGATTGCAAATGACCAGCTGTCTGCAAGGAATATAAATCCTTCCGCTCCCTGCCATCCAGTCAGAGCTGACGAAGCTTCTTGGATGAGAAGTGAAATGTCTTCAAAGAAAAACCAGAAAGTGCAGTGGCCTCTTGAAAAAAGAGCAATTTTTTCTGTTTATTTACTGCCACGTAGAACCTTGAATTTTGTTCCCAGTGCTCCCTATAGCACATCCCTCCACTCCACAGAGCCTGAAATATTTTGGGATTTTTTTTCTCACGTGTCCTACCCGTACAAATCTCATATGTTTCTTTTTCAGACAAAGCAAGTTTTTTTCCTAGCAGCTGGCCAACTCAGGTGAGTATCTGACAAGTAAGAACTCCTAACCCCGTGATGGTGAATCTATGGCACGCATGCCACCGGAGCCATTTCTGCGGGCATGCGAGCCGTCACCCTAGATCAGGTCCGCCGCGCATATGCGCGTGCCTCCCGCCAGCCACCTGATTTCCGGGTCTCTGCCGCGCATGCAGGAGACATATGCACATGCCCATACTGCCCCTCCCCTCCCAGGAGTCTCCACGCGGCCCGTTTTGGATGCCAGGTAAGTACAAAGCTCATGTGGAAGCTCTGGGAGGGCGAAAAACGGGCCTACCGGAAGTCTGAAAACGGGCAGTTTCCGGCCTCTAGAGAGCCTCCGGAGGGCCGGGGGAGGCTGTTTTTGCCCTCCTGGAGACTCCGGGAAAGCCTCCGGAGCCTGGGGAGAGCGAAAAACTGCCCTACCAGAAGTCTGGAAACGGACCGTTTCCAACCTCTGGAGGCTTCAGGGAGGTCTGCTAGGCCCAAAATGGGGCACCGGAGGGTCATAAGCGCATCCGCGGGAGGGTGAGGGAGCGCAGGGGGTTGCATGTGCTTACACAGGGAGGCGTGGGGCAACGTGGGGGATTGCACACGCATGCACAGGAGGCGGGGCATGCGTGGCGGGCATTGCATTATGGGTGTGGGCACGTGTGTGTGCGCTTTTGCTACCCAAGGAAAAAATGGTGAGCCATCACTGCCCTAACAGAAATGACCTAGGATGGGGTTTAGGGTTATTGCATTGATTCAAGAAGAGACTGGACTGCCATCTGTCAGAAATGATGTAGGACCGTGATGGCGAACCTATGGCATGCGTGGAGCCATATCTGTGGGCACGCGAGCGTTGCCCTAGCTCAGCTCCAGAACGCATGCATGCACCAGCCAGCTGATTTTCAGGGCTTCTGGGCCCACCGGAAGTCAGGAAACGGGCTGTTTCTGTCCTCCAGAGGGCCTCCGGAGGGGTGGGGAAGGCTGTTTTTGCCCTCCCCAGACTCCAAGAAAGCCTCTGGAGCCTGGGGAGGGTGAAAAACAGACCTACTAGGCCCACTGGTAACCTTTTTGTCGTTGCGTGCCAAAAGCAGGAGGAGCACGCATGAGCGGGAACGGGGAGGCGTTAAATGGTGTGGGCACAGGGGTGCGCGACCGCTCCATTTATTTATTTATTTATTTATTTATTTATTTATTTATTTGTTTGTTTGTTTATTTGTTTATTTGTTTATTTATTTATTTAATTTGTATAACGCCCTTCTCCCAGAGAGGACTCAGGGCAGTGAACAGCCAAAATTAAAAAACATACAAACACAAAAGTTAAGATAATTAAAAAAGAATTAAATCATTAGCTTCCCAATTTAAAACCCCCAAATCCATAAAATTTAAGACCCCAATTTAAAAACCATTTAGGCTAGGCCGACTTGGTGGAATAAAAACGTCTTCAGGGCTTTACGGAAGGTCCGGAGGTCCGGGATCGATCGTATTCCAGGAGGCAGCTCGTTCCACAGGGCGGGTGCCCCCACAGAGAAGGCTCTCCCCCTGGGGGCCGCCAGCCGACATTGCCTGACCGACGGCACCCTGAGGAGGCCCTCTCTGTGAGAGCGTATTGGCCGGTGGGAGGTTATCGGTAGCAGCAGGCGGTCTCGCAAATATCCTGGCCCTAAGCCATGGAGCGCTTTAAAGATGAGAACCAACACCTTGAAGCGCACCCGGAAGACCACCGGGAGCCAATGCAGCTCGCGCAGGAGAGGTGTCACGTGGGAGCGCCACGTCGATCCCATAATCACCCGCGCGGCCGCATTCTGCACCAGTTGGAGCCTCCGGGTGCTCCTCAGGGGGAGCCCCATGTAGAGAGCGTTGCAGTAGTCCAGGCGTGACGTGACCAGGGCATGAGTGACCGTGCACAAGGAGTCCCGATCCAGAAAGGGGCGCAACTGGCGTATCAGGCGGATCTGATAAAAAGCCCCCCTGGCCATGGCCGTCATATGTTCTTCTAAAGACAGCCGTGTGTCCAGGAGGACACCCAAGTTGCGAGCCCCCTCTGTGGGGGTCAGTGACTCGCCCCCAATAGGCAGCGATGGCACCAGCTGGCTATATCGGGACGCCGGTATCCACAGCCACTCGGTCTTGCTCCCCCCCGCTTTTGGCACACGACGGCAAAAAGGTTAGCCATCACTGATGTAGGGTCTCCGGCTTGGGCAAGGGGGGGGTTTGGACTAGATGACCTACAAGGTCCCTTCCAACTCTTGTTAATCTGATTTTTGTACCCTGCCCTTTGGAGTCTTCCAAAACGCCGATTAAAAGCAATAAAATAAAATTTAAATATAAATTTTAAATACAAATTTTAATCTGTTTAAATTATGGGGTATTTTAAAATTCAGCCAAATTATTTAATTCGTTTTTAATCTATTTTAAATTTTTGTATTTCTGTGTTTTATCTTCTGGCTGTTCACCGCCCTGAGTCCTTCGGGAGAAGGGCGGTATAGAAATTTAATAAAATAAATAAAATAAATCAATAAATCAATAAATAAAAATAAAAAGAGGTGAAATCGCAACATCATTCATACTATTAGAATCAATAGAAAAATTTTACAAATC